GTAATATTTATGATGTTTGTTATCTATTACATAACAGTATGTTTTTTTTTAAATGAAAGTATTAAATTACATTTTTAAAGTAATACTTTACAAATAATAAATGTTAAAATAGACTATTTTCTTGACTTACATTTGTACCCAGTGACGGTAAAATTCGATCAGAGGATTTAAAAAAATAAATAAATCGGTAATAGTTTTTATTTACAAAAATTTATGTAAACAATGTCAAGGTGTTCAAATTTTAGGAAATTTCTAGAAAGAACGTCATATAGAAACTTTAGAAATAACAAAAAGAGATTATCAGTCTGAATTAAGAAAACATATCTTATATCATGGAAGACTGCACCAACTAAGCCAACCCTATCATCCAAGAAAGTAAAAGACACAAATACAATTACATGGGACAAATAACATACTGGGGGAGGGGGGGTGGTGCTAACCTTGACTACTCATGAGTGTCTTGCACGATTGTCATCATCATTTTTTACCATTACTTTAATTACTTTTTATTTGATATTGAGTTATATTAGTGAAGAAATTACAAATCTCTGTTTCCAGAGTGTAAACATTTGAAAGTCATCATTGACCTAACAAATAGCCAATGGAAATGTCAAAATTTCATATCACATTGAATGATTGGCCAATCAAATAAGCACATTTGAGTATTGGTTATTCATATCATACTCCATTCAGTATGATACAAGAAATACCTCATCATGTGAGAAAAAGATAACAGTACGCAAATATAAGAGAATTTATTGTTACTAATCTTTAGGATATTTTGATTTCACATCTTGTTGTACCTGTCATTATAATTTTTGCAATACACAAACAAATCTGGAATATGGATGTCTAAATCTGATATATATATATATCTTTTGGCAGGAGAGTGTCACTCTTAATACACATAAAGGAACCCTTTAACTAACATATATTTGAGGGGTTGATATGAGACTTATTATCAGACAAAATTTCTGCCCTACATTATGTGCTACATTACGTTTTTTTCCCGTTTGAAGTCCAAAGGAGAAGAGCCACAAAAGCCTTAAAAATCACTTTTTCTGTCTGTTATTCATTTAAAGCATGTTGACTGCTTTAAAAGTATGATAATTTACAGAGCTTTAGACAGGTGGAATAGGATCCCAGTTACAGATACCAGTCCAGTACCCACGAATGAAGTCCCTTAATAAATCTACCATCTTTTAAATGGGATGTTGTACCGAGATGGAAGTTATGTAAAGATGCTTAAATTTGTAGTATATCTAAAGGGTATTCATTAAACTTTCAACTTCTGTTAAATTTTCAGTGATTCTGAAATGTATAGGGTGGATGATTGTCTGAGTAAATGGTCCAAATTTTATTTTCGATTTTAACCAGGTAGTTAATAGAATGATCCTTTTAATACTCAAAACAGTATTGCTCTCTTAAATGCCGGCCATGACCTTCCAAGAATTCTCCCAGAAACCATGAAGGAGGCTACTAGTATGAGAAAGTAATTTAAATTTTGCAATCTAATATAGGGAATAAAAAATCTGCCCCTCAATTTGGATAAAATTGCATTGAAGTAATGGGGAAATAATTGGGTGCCCTTTCCTGGTAATGCCTGTTTTTATGCTTTTGATAGATCAACTAGCTTTCTGGTGAAAAAACATTGGCCTCAGCCTTAGATTGACCTTCTATACAGAATCTTTTTTACATAATAAATTAATAAATTTCATTTTATATTAACACAGAAAATAATTTGATCATGAATATTATGCACATTGACACATATTTATAAAATGATATATGAGTGTAAAGTTAGATGATATATACAATGTAAAACATTTAGATATAAAGTTAACACTTAGTTGGATTACATGAACTCATGTTATATACAATTTTGTGGTTATGATAGCAAAGGAGTCAAGGGGTTCCAGCAGTTTTCTGCCCTATAGAATCTTTTGATTTTTATACAGAATCTTCCTAATTGGTGTTGTTTAATTTCTTTATTTAATGTGTGTGGAATATTTGCCACTGGATGTTAAGAACTCTTTAAAATTGGTAATTATTGTTTAATTTCTTTTTTAAGTGTGTATGAAATATTTGCCACTGGATGTTATGAAATCTTTTAAATTGGTAATTACTGTTTAATTTCTTTTTTAAGTGTGTGTGAAATATTTGCCACTGGATGTTTAAAAAACTTTTAAATTTGCTTGCTGTTCATCTATCTAAATTGGTAATTATTGTTTAATTTCTTTTTTAAATGTCTGTGAAATATTTGCCACTGGATGTTAAGAAAAGATCAATCAAACATTACAATATAGGGTTACTTAGCAGTTGGTCTTTCTAACAAGCTTGGTAATTAAGCCATGCAACTACACTAGAAGCACTTTGATTATACATGTTGTGGTTATGATGGTAAAGGAGTCAAGGATTCCAGCAGTTTTTTGGCCCTATTGAATATTTTGTTTTTGTACAGAATCTTTCTAATTAGCAATTATTGTTTTATATTAAAAGAAGATGTGCTATGATTGCCAATGAGACAACTCTCCACAATAGACCAAATGACACAGAAATTAACAACTCTAGGTCACTGTAAAGCCTTTAACAATGAGCAAAGCCCATGTCCTTTTTTTATTTCTTTGAAATATTTGCCAATGGATGTCAAGAAAACTTTAATCATTCATTGCATCATAGCAGTTGTTCTTTTTAGTGTGTTTATTTTTTGTGCTTTGATTGAAATTTAAATGAGGGATTTTGTCTCTTACGAGAGAAATTGACATTTTTTTAAGAACATGGAGCATATGTGATTGCTTTTTTATAGTTATTCACATTTCCAATTGCAATACAGGTTATACATAAAATAGTTAACAAAACATTATAAGTGAGCTATTCTTTACATGGACTTTCTTATCTTTTGTATCTTCAAAGTATAAATAAATGGAGCAGTGTTTTAAAGTCATTGAGATAGCACATACCATAAATGCCTGAAGATAACTCAAAACTTCAAATTTGACAGATTTTGGTAAATTTTTAGTATTTGTCCAAAAACTTCTAAAGGAGGAGGAGATTCTTAAACCAAGACCAATGTTTTGGTCAAAGTAAAGCTATATATATTTTGTCTTTTGGATACAAATTACTACATTTTGGTTAGAGATGTCCTTCCGTTCAAATTTTACAAAAATGTCTTAAGCTAGAACAGCAACATATAGGACTAAATAACGATGTGAATTCATGGGCATATATAAAGTTGTTGGAAAATATTTTAAGAACTAAGTATATAATATAGACTATTTAATATTCAAATTGCTGAAGGATTTGACAACTTTTATGTTTATTTTTTTTCAAATTAGGAGACAAAAGAAGTAGTTTTACATATGTAAATAATTTTTGTTTTTTAAATTCTCTTTTAGAAACAGTTTTTTGATACCTTGCTTTTGGAATTATCTAGTTATATCCAGTCAAATATACAAATTTATAAGTGAGCCTAAAACAAGGGAAATTAGCCCATCGTCTTTATTTTGAAGGACAATTTAAAACATGCCCTATTTGCATGTATGCATCATCCAGGGTTTTGTTGTTTTATGCATGTCTGTATTATTGGAATCGTCCTGAACATGAATGAAATATTTGCCACTGGACGTTAAGCAACCAACAATAAATTATATTTGGAAACTACTAGAAAATTTTGTCTTAGTAAATACAGTTTCATCCCAGATCAAGTAACGTGTGTTATGTTTATATTCCCTTAAGGGATATTATTTGTCAAGTTGATGACAAAATTAAAAAGCAGTAAACAAAAATAAAGAAATGTCTACACCAATTAGGTCATTTAAAGCAAATTCTAAGTAAACAATCTGAAATTATATACCGATATTCTTATGCTTGAAAGACATCGGACAATGACGAACACAGGTACATCATGTGTACATGCAATAAATGTAAAAAACATGTTTTTCCTATTTGAAGAACCCTTGTTTCATCTATCCAGATTTAATTACATGGTGTATTTGTTTCTTTCTAAACATGTTTTGTTCATTTTATTTTGTAAATTTTATATCATATTTCTTTGATTTTATTTATCTGACGTATTCTGGATATAACTAGTTAATTCAATTACCAAGGTTATTTTTTACAAAAATATTTAAAAAAAAAAGAATTTTGAAAAACAAAATTTTTAAACATATGAACGAGTGCTTTTTTGCATCAAAATTTGAAAAATTAAATACAATGCAGAAATAGAAATGACTGTTCAAATTGTTCGGTTAAAATTTTAATTAACTTCTTCTCGTCCTGAATATGCATGAAATATTTGCCACTGGACAATAAGCAAACAGCAATCAGTTAGTCAATCAAAATATGTAGCATTTGAATTTCATAAACATCAAATCTCTTTCCTTAGTACTCCAAATGTATTGCCAAGGGTCAATAACATGGAGACTACAGACCATATCATTGTCTGGATCTGCCCATGGGAGGACGATTACCATAAGAATTTGCCTTTTCAAACAAGGGAAGGCATTGATTTATTGCTTTCAATTTCTGTTTTTTATTTTAAAATTGCTTTTAAATTCTTAAAAATTTTCTAAGTGATATACTTTACCTACAAAGATTGTGAATAAAATAAGAAAAAGTTGACTATTAAGAAGAATTAACATTGGTATAAATGAAAAATGGAACTTTCATCCTGTTTGTGGTGAAAAAAAGGACTCATATAATTGATTTATTAAAATTACTGGGGTTAAATGTTTTTAAACTCTTTACATGTTGTCAGTGTCAATGAATTACTGAATTTCAAATACTTTGTGAATTTAAGTATAATTTCATGTTATAATCTTATTAAATTTAAGATAAAACTTTTCTTCATGTATTGATAGATTTAAATATTGGAAATATTCATACAATTTGATGTTTTTCTCCCTCCTCGAAGATACACCTGTACAACAGATAAAGTTTATTATGGTCGATTTAAATTTATTCATATGAACTCTGACCTTATTTTTCTTACTATAAAACAGGATGAAGACACTAAGAAATCATGAGTTACAATTCAGAGGAATCAGAATCTACACCACTTCTACGTGGTCATCCTGTGTCTGTACAAACAAGAGGCCTAGATTGTCGAAGAATAATGGTGCAAGTTGGAAAATTAGCTAGGAAGCATATAAGCAATGCTTGTAATAGGGAAGCATGGAAAACAAGATTTCCTATTACTAAATGGATATTAAAATACAGGTAGGAACATTTTATTAAGATTTTCTTTTTATTTCCAGTAAAGATTCTTAATATGCTGCAAAAATTTAGAATATTGTGAATTCTATTTAATTTTGTAAATTTTTTATTTTTTTTTCTCAATTTTTTTCATTTTTTCATTTTGCCTAATTGAAATTGGATAAGCATTTCTTTATATTCATTTATTTCTTGCTCTTTCAATCGAGATATAAGATATGCATGTTCAAAGCATGTTTCTGTGTCAACCTTTATCAGGAATGCTGAGCAAAAAAGTTGAAACCAAAAGATACATAAATACATATAAGGATAGCTAGAAATTTTAAGAACCATACAGTTTGTCTATTTTGTAAGTTTGTATGGATGTGTTTCTTTTTTTTTTGTATCTTTCACATGTATTTTCTTTTACTTAATCAAAATTAGATTATCATTTCCTGAAATATCATTTTTATTTTTTTTTATTTTGCCCTCTCAACCAAGATAATAAATAGATAGCAATGCACATTCAAAGCACGTTTCTGGGTGAACTTTTATCAGGATTGCAGAGCAAAAAAAATATCAAAAATAAAAGATAGACAAATACGTATAGAGAGAGCTACATTCAAAATTGAGTAGCCCAAAGCGTCTATGATCAAATTCTCTGACTGAGTTTCAAGTTGAAAACTGATTGTTTCCTCCCCCCAAAATTACAACATATTTTTAAGTATTTATCAAAATGCAGGTATGTCATAAATCATACTAGTGCACTGCTTATACTTGGCAAAAAGATGATGACAGAGGCTAGATTATTAGAATAGATAAGGGAATATTAGAACATAATCATTAAGTACAATCTACAAAAATAGAAAACTAAGTTCTATAAAAGTAGCAGGAGTCTAATTTGAAAATAAAGGAAAACTTAATGTCATGTGCTCCGGAAGGGTAAGAAGTTTCTGTTATACATCTTCCAGTAACTCATGAAAAAATATTTGGGAAAAAGTTAAAATGGAACCATGATGAAATATGTTGGAATATAATATGTATATGTGTTTCATGTTGGTTTTTTATATTGAAATTGACAGTACAAAAGAAATGAGACCTAGGATGTAAGAAAATGATTAAACCTATCAATGACACCTGTACACAAATTTCCTATCCTATTTTACATCAGATTCCTTGTATAGGGAGATTTATCCCCTCTTTGGACATTGCTAGTTGTAAAGCAACATTTCTGTCCATATCCAACACTCAAGCTTTTCCAATGACACATCTTCATCTTAGTTGAACCACTTTATCAGAATTATTGTTAATTTGTTTTCTTCCTGAATTTGCATGAAATATTTGCCACTGAACATTAGCCAAACAATCAATCAATCAATAAATTTAACGACAGATTTTTCGCTGTGAACTTAATGAAGCTTTTAAAAAGCTAAAAAAACAACTTACTTAAGTATAGAATAATTCTTTTTAATGAAGGTTAATACTTGGTTTCCATGAGTTTAAGAATTTTTATTTTGAAAAAAAAATTCTTTTTATTAGCGAATGCTCATATTTTCATTTCTGAACATTTAGATATTTAGGTTAACAGCAATTTCAGTAAGAAATGTTTTTAGGAGTTAAGTCCCTTGAAATGGACATTCAATGCTTAAGCTTTCATTTAGGGTTGAAGTTATCAGGGGTAAACAAAATAGCAGACACTTTTCTCATATTCAGTCTTGATTATAGTAATTATTGAAAGTAAGCTTGAGATTTGTTCATTGTTGAAGGCCAAACAGTGACCTATAGATGCTTATTTCCATGTCATTTAATGGACTCTGGTGGATAGTTTTCTTATTGGCAATCATACCACATCTCCTTACTTTTGTATTGACTTGTTATGAATATATGAATAAAAAGATATGTGTGGAAAATGTCAATGAAACAGCAATCTAACATTACAATTCACCAAAAGATATCTTGAGTTCAGCATACAGTTTTGAACAATACGACTACAGGGGTTTTTAACGACCTTGACCATCCATGAGGATCTCGCACGGTTAGGAAATTTCGAACAATAAGACAGGTGTCTTATAAAACAATATTGCAAGTTTTAAATAGGCCTGAAAGGAAAAAAGTTTTGAATAAATTTAACAAACTTAACTGAGGATAAAAAATTCTACCATCAACACCGACTTCTCCGACTTCTCTGAATAACAAATAATGAGCTTACTTCTTAAAGTCTTTTTAGTTTATTATACTGTTGGCCTGCTGTCGAATTAACATTTACCCAACATAAATATTTTGGTTTAGAGAGGTCACTACTCTGGGTTTGTTTTTAAAGACATTGCATTAGCAGGAGGTCTTTAAATTTGACAAATAGGTCAACAATTTCTTCAAAAACAGTTTATCTAGGGTTATGCAGATACCAAATCTGTCAAAATCTGTTTGTAGATCTAATATATTGATCTTTTACCTGTAACAAAATTTAAGAAATGGTAAATAGTGATATCAAAATGATTTTATCTTTGACAGTTGGATCATGAAAAAAGATATATGAAAATAAAGTAAAACAAAAAAAAACTCATTGTGAAGGTGCTATCAAAACTGAAATACGGTGCATTTATTATCATTCATGGAGTACCAATTTTCATTGATTTCATGGGTATAGGCTAGGGAACTCATGAATATAGATGTTCAATGAGTATAAATTTCTATTGGTTTTGCAAAAGCATGAAATTAAATATCCATGAAAATACAATTTTAACTCTATCCAGGAAAGTTGGTTCCATAAATGCATTCATAGTAGGTAATAATGGTAAAAAACAGACATATAAAAGGCTCGTAAAGCCTTCAGTTTCTCTTCTGTCTTAAAAAAACCCAGGAATTAATGATACTTTAACCTTTACTTTTTTATTGATTGGAGAAATTATTACAGCACAACATAAGAACAAACTATAAAAATCAGTTGAAAAGAGCTTAACTCATCTGAATTTAGAATATCATTTAAAAAAAATTAAAAAATTAAAAAAAACCTGAACTAAATTCATAAATACAAATCATTTAAGGTCACTTGCATAGAAATAACAGAAATAATCAGATAATTTGGCCTTCAAAATAAACAGATTCAATAAAATATCTCAAACTTGGTGATGATGCTATGCTTTCATAAGATCTTTTGAGACAATTTAAAAATTTCATATTTGGAAAAGATAACAGTAGTCCACTTAACGTTTGTCACAATTCATCTGACAAGATAAACATAAGATCTTAAAGGCAAAGACCGTTTACTTACTTAATTAGCCGATTTTCCTTTTATAAAGTAATGAATTGTCATAAGTGTGGCCTTGTTGAATGGTCAGTCTTGGAATGTCTACTATCAAGGGGTCAAGAGACGAAGGTTTAAGGAATTTGTGGCATGTGCTTGCTGTGTGGTCACTCCAGGAGGTCAATTGAACAATTAAACAATTCAGGTGGTGATTCTTTGTTGTCTTTTGTTTAGATAGCAGCTAGTCTTAACCGTTCATTGCTTTTGAAGATTCAGGAATGACCAAAATATGACAGTGTTACTTAACAAACCATTGGACATCTTTGTGAAAAAAAAATATATATTTTCAAGATTCTAATTGTCTCTTTATTTTATTTCTTATCATGGCTTTTCTTGGGGTATAGTAGTAACAAAATTTATAAATCATGAAGTCAAATGTGAGGAAATCTTTCCTTTAGCTCCAAGTAATGACTTGACCTTGTGTTTCTCTAAATATCTCTTAAATGACGTCTTTAGAATCAGGAAGGCAGTATACGTACGGTATATGATAGTGTTTTGTTTTGTTGTCATGAACACTGATAAGTCACAACTCTTAGATAAAGAAGAACTCCGGACACTGTTTATAAAAAGAACTGCTGACTTATTGCACTACTGTTTGGAGTCAATGTTCTAGAGTTGGGTCATTTTATAGACTGTAATCTGTTTGATCACAATTCTCTGTATGTAACATTGAATATTTTTAATGGAACTGTAAACTATTTATACATCTTCAGTCAGGCTACCTCGACAAAATTTATATTCTTTATGGTTTGATATGGTGCACAAAATTTATTTTCACTTATGTACACTTTTATTTCCTGCTTTTTGTTGGTCATTTTCATCCTGTTTTGGGCAAGGTTATTTTTTTCAGTTCTTTATAGGCAAGAATATTCATCTCCAAAATCCTCCTGGCCCATTCCCACTGTACCATAAAGAATGCATTTATGAAGGAAGATTGCACTGACTGAAAAACATGAATTATTCATGTTTCAGAACCTAAAGGATTCAAAGTAACTTCATTATGTATATAACAAATAAAAAATAGTACAACCTTAGACATTTTCTTCACAGTTATTTAGTTTTCAAAGATTTGTACAAGTATTATATCTAACCCTTCATTGTCTTTGTTTTTGTTCTTTTATTTAGAATTTAATTTTTTTTGTTATCTTTTGTTCTCAAGATTCAAGTTTATGAACATTTGAAATATTTTATCTTGAATATAAGACTTAATTATAAATATAAAGTTTTGTTCCTTATTTCAGAGTCAACGATCTGACTTCAGATTTTATAGCAGGACTAACAGTTGCTATGACAGTCATACCACAGGGACTTGCCTACTCTACATTAGCAGGTCTTCCTCCACAGGTAATTTTTATACACCCGCAAAATTTTTTTTGTTATACGACCGCAAAAATTTTTTTGTTATATGACAGCGAAAATTTTTTTGTTATACGACCGCAAAATATTTTTTGGGATCGTATGATGTCGTCGTCGTCTGCGTCGTCGTACGAAGACACATTGGTTTCAGAACAATAACTTTAGTTTAAGTTAATGGATCTCTATGAAATTTTTAAGAAGGTTCAATACCACAAAAGGAAAGTTGAGATTGATTTTGGGGATGATGGTCCCAACCGTTTAGGAATTAGGGGCCCAAAAGGGGCCCAAAACAAACTTTTTTCTAGTTTTAGGATAATAACTTGTGTATAAGTATTTCAATTGCTCTGAAATTGTACAACAATGTTTAATACCACAAGTAGAAGGTTGGATTCAATAGGGGTTATGGGGCAAACAGTTTAGGAATTAAGGGCCTAAAAGGGGCCAAAAACAACATTTTTTGTAGTTTCCGGACAATAACTTATGTGTATATATAAGTAGATATAGGAAGATGTGGTATGAGTGCCAATGAGACAACTCTCCATCCAAGTTACAATTTATAAAAGTAAACCATTATAGGTCAAGGTACAGCCTTCAACACAGAGCATTGGCTCACACCGAACAGCAAGCTATAAAGGGCCCCAAAAATCACTAGTGTAAAACCATTCAAGTATGGATCTCTCTGATATTGTACCATAAGGTTCCATATCACAAAGGGAAGGCTGGGATTGAGTTTGGGGGTAATTGCATCAAACATGTAGGAATTAGGGGCCAAAAAAGGGCCAAAAACATGCATTATAATTCTAGTTTCCAAACAATAACTTGTGTTAGATGTGTATGTATCTCTCTGAAATTGTACTACAAGGTTCCATACTACAAAGGAAAGGCTTGGATTGAGTCTTGGGGTAATTGCTCCAAGGGGGGATTCTAAAAGTCGCGGGGGAGGGGGGTTGGTTCCAATTTTTTTAAGGAATTCATATTTTTTTCAAAAATTTTCAAATTTCAAATTTTGTAAAAGTTTCATGAAGTAATCTTCAATTGCACAGTATTGCACAATAGATTTGTAAGATCTTTTACCACATTTATTTTGTGTCAGAAACCTATATTATGTCAAAAATTTGATCACAATCAAAATTCAGACAGTATCAAGCTTGAATATTATATCCAAATTCGCCCCAACTGTTCAGGGTTTGACCTCTGCGATCGTATCAGGCTGCGCTCAGCGAAGCATTTTATTAAAACTGGGTTTTCCGGGCGAGCTGCTGCTAACAGTTTCTGTGCAATTTTATGAACTGTGTAACCAATGCTTTTAAAATGTTGGTGTGTTGTTACTGATGATACATGAAGGTCAAGTTTTATATTGACTATTTTCGATTTTACTGTTCAAAAGTTATGGTCCTTAATAGGTTGGAAAATTGTACTTTATGTTGTTTCATTTCAATATTTCATAATATGAGCTGAGCCAATTACCAGTATGTACCTACCATATTCTGTCTTGATCTATGCAGGCATTTGTTAATTTTCCTCCTAAGCTAAGTCATCTTCAACACCCCTTAGGTATTTAGGATTCCATACCATAATTGGTCACATGATCTCTTAAAAAGACCAGGATGTAAAATTTGCATATTTATTCTTTTTCAGTATGGTTTATACTCAGCTTTTATGGGATGTTTTATATACACATTTCTTGGTACATCTAAAGATATTACCCTCGGTCCTACAGCTATAATGTCACTGATGACTGCAACTTTCGCCATGTCACCAATCAAAGACGATGCTACTTACGCTATTGTGTTATGTCTCATGACTGGAGTTGTACAACTTGTTATGGGATTGCTTAATTTAGGTAGGTAAACAATTTTTAAGTTTTGTTCAAAAAAGAGTGCAGTTCTTAAGAATTAAAATTGCAGAATTTCATCAATTTTTATTAATGTGTATTATACACAAATGTGTACTATACACTGTCAAATAGGGGTAATTTTAAAATGGCTAAGATATTTTTTGGTAAAGAATTATATTTTGTCAGGCCCTTCCCCCATGTTAACATCTTTCAAGATTTTCTGATGTCAAACTTTGAACAATTGATTTTCGCATTCGTTGAAAAATTCATATTCAAGTAATGAAAGCAGTATCAATCTTTTGGGAAGAAAATTGAATCTGTAACTTATTTATTTATTATCCAAAATTTGATTGAAGATGAAAATGAGCTATTTAAATATATAATGGAATTAGAACTTATTTTACAATAATTTTTTTCTATAATTGTTTAGGTATATTAGTGAATTTTATATCCCATCCTGTGATAAACGCCTTCACGTCTGCTGCTGCCATCACTATTGCCTTCGGACAAGTTAAGGTAGGTCGTAAAAAAAAACTTTTTTACAATGTTTGTTTGTCAGATTTACAGCTATTAACATTGTACATATAAAACTACTATCAATTATATATATAGAGATAAAGTTTAAAGAAAAAGAAACAATAATATAACAGCTAGCCAGATACAAGTCAAGAACATTGGCAATTTTTTTTTTTAGAATACTCCAATTGGTAAAGAAAATGATAAATTGTTATGTTTCTGACTTGGTGCTGGTTAATTCTAATTTTTTTTTATAGAAATGAAATTAAAGTTTAAGCATTTTGTCATTCATTTGTAGTACTTAAATAATTTGATTCAGAAGGATAATCGAAATACCAATTTATCAGTTCAATTGAACAATAAAAAACATGAACAAATTGTTATTTGATTGTCAACTATTAGGTTTTATGCATAATTTTTTATTAGAAAAAATAAATTTTCAAAAACCATTTGTATAAAATGAATTTTTATGTCTTGAGTCTAGATATTTTGTCAATATTACGTTATCCGTTTTTACTTTGATTTCAGGGAATATTAGGTCTGAAAAATATACCAAGAGATTTTCTGGATATGGTGTATGAAACTTTTAAACATATACCAGAGACAAAGTAAGTGTATATGTGTGTGTCCTTACAGTATACTCTTTGGAATTGTAAAAGTTTCATTAAATCAGTAATTTTTGATACCTTATTTTTTTAACTATGAATAACTATTTCTAGGAATGAAATATTACAACATCTACCTGCTTACTAATGATAAAAATTAAGTATTGAAAAGGAAGAGATAGTGGGTAGATTAGCATGAAAAGCACAATACAAATGAAATAAATTAAAAAAAAAAATGGTTAATAGATTCTCCAGTTCATGCACATTTCTAGATTCAAAAAATTAAGTGAACGATCAGTACATCAACAGATCAGAACATGTACTTTCATTGGCTATTTCAGTTAATAATAAGCTGAAGGGCCCATCATTTGCAGCATCATCCAAAAATTCCCTAGCTGTGACTTTTTTTTTAAAAAAGACAAGATTAAGTAGAATAAGGTTCATTTACATAAAATTCATCAAGGTTGAATTTTTCTTTTTTAGAGTACATTTTAAAGTCAAATAATTTGATACTCATTGTTATCCATGAATATTGCATCATCTTAAAAGGAACCTTTCAAATAGTTTTTTAAGCATATACATAGTAGCATTACTATTATTATTTATTTTTCAGTGTATGGGATTTAACAATGGGATTATCAAGCTTGGTTTTATTAGTCTTAATGAAGGTAAGATTTAGAAAGAAAAATTTTCAAAATCAATATCACGAAAAATTCTTAATTTAATTCAGATATGTTACGTGCACAATATTGGTTTTTAAAAGATAATCTATAAATAGATGAGTTTTTAATCTAACGGGAACAAAAAATTGAAATGAGAATTGATGATATTAAAAAAAAATGATTTAAATCTATTCCAATTTGAAAGTTATTCTTGATCAATCACTGATGGTAAATATACTGTAATTTCCCTAGAAAGTATACTGAAATATTCTTCACATATTTCATAAAATCCATTTTTAAAATGAAATCAAAATGTTATTTTTAGAAATTGAGAACAATAGAATGGAAAGACGATCCCGGTACTACACCATCACGCTGTGTAAAAGTTGCTAGATATATTCTTTGGCTAGTTGGAACAAGTAAGTTTGAATTTATAAATTATATACTGTGGGTTCATTATTATTTGTTATATGCTAATTTTAATGATGATGATTGATGGCTGCTTAATGTCCAGCTTCAAATTAATATGCATATTCAGTATGAGAACATGTTAATGTAATATGAATATTAATCCAAAAAGAAAAAATATGAAATAAAAACTATTGCATTACATTTAAATACATTCAGTAGACAGAGGTAGCATAAATAATCCAAGTTATCTCCCTTGCCTGTATTTTTTTTTTATTATTCTTATTTCAAGCTTATTTTCGTTGTGGTTCATATTATTATTTAAAGAGATAAGTCTCTCATTTCACAACACTCTTTTATTTGCAGGTGCTAATGCAATAGTTGTGATATCTGCTTCGGGAATAGTAGCCATTCTACTTAATTATGATGTAGACAAGCTTTCAATTACCGGTCATATTAAAAGTGGATTACCACCAGTAAAAGTCCCTGCATTCTCTGTGTCTGATGGTAACACAACTATCAGTACTTCAGAAATTTTTTCGGTAAAGTAAAATTCATTTATTTATGCAATACATATAGTTTTTAAAACACAATGATCCATCTATTCAATAAATTGAATTATTTCTAGAAAAAAAATGTCTTACATTTTTTTTTGGAATGTTTTATTTGAGCATGTTCAATAAATTAGTTTCATGGAAAATATATCATTTATCTGTAAATCAACTTTGTATGAAAAAAAGTTAGCTGTTATAATTATTATTGCTCAAGTAAACAGTTTGATTCAGGTAACCTTTAAACCTTAAGTTTAACTGAGTTCTGCTTGGTTTCAATAGCTATCATTTTTTTTCCAAACACCGGTAAAATTATGAATAGACTAGACCAATTTTTTATATATATTTTTTATTATTTTATTTGCAGGGTATAGGAGCAGGATTTATCATTGTACCATTACTTGGTCTTGTAGAACTCATAGCCATCGCCAAAGCATTTTGTAAGTATACTGGTACATTAATTTTAAAACATATAGGACCCATTTGTAATGTGTTTTTTTTATTTACAATCCAAGCAAACATTGTTCATGCAAAAGTTGTAATTCTAACAAGTTTTGTTTTTTAACAGCTAACATTAAAATGAGTTGAAAGTTTATTAAATGTTTTTTCGGCATCAAAACCTTCCAATCGATGTTTTGAAAACAACTTTCCACTTTTCTATCAATGCCGGTATTTATCGGTGTGTGCCATTATAGAAGCCATATCGAGGATTTAATATCCTATCACCTGTTTATTGTTCAATCATACTATTATCACTTGTTACTTAGCCGCCGGCCAGGTCAAAATCTCCACATGTTGCGTAATCAGGATACGTTTAATACATCAGGTTTTTATTTCTTCAATAACAAACATTCGTAAACATCGCCTGATATTTTTCATTCATGATATTTTTAATACACGGGATTTTTTTCTCTTCAACGGGAGGAGACCCCTGAAAATAGGATTATTGTACTCTTGTCGGGAGGTTCACATGTATGCATTTTTATACCCAGTCTAAGAAAGTAGGGTGGGTTTTTATCTATTTGTTCGTCACTCCCAAATCAGGATAAATTTTTGGTTTAAGTTAGTTGACCATGAAGTTGTCGTCACACCAACATTAAACTTAGTACATAAGTTCATAATGATGTGAAAGGTTTCTGTATTGTAAATTTTATAACTTTTTATTTTCAGCAAGAAGAAATAATTATAAAATTTATCCTAGTCAAGAACTCATTGCCATTGGTAAGTTGAACTACTTTAGTGACATTCCTAAAAATTTTAATTTTTTTTAAGTCTTAATGTCTTAAAAGAGGGACGAAAGATACCAGAGGGACAGTCAAACTCATAGATCGAAAACAACTGACAACGCCATGGCCAAAAATAAAAAGACAAACAGACAAATAATAGTACAGATGACACAATATAGAAAACTAAAGACTAAGCAACACGAACCCCACCAAAAACTGGGGGTGATCTCAGGTGCTCCGAAAGGGTAAGCAGATCCTGCTCCACATGTGGCACCCGTGTATAATTTAGTATAAAAATGTTGTATCCTATTGGAGAATGTATGAGAATAAATATATATTATAGTTTTCACACAATTATCACAAGTATGTTTTACATTTAAAAAAAAAAACAAAATAAATTTTATTTGCGCTGTAAAGGTTTCAGAAATAAATATTTAACATTGATGTTTTTTTTAGGAGAATTATAGTTGTTTGATTATTTATAAGTTAACCAAAATTTTAATGTGAAAAAAATATTTGTATATGTATTTCTTAATTTTTATGCCCCGGCCATGGCGGTGGGGGCATTAAGTTTTACCCTTGTCCGTCTGTACGTACGTACGTACGTACGTCCCAAAATTGGTTTCCGTTTTCTAACTTGAGTTTGCTACAACCAAATGTTATGAAACTTATACACAATGCTTATTACCACAAAACATAGATCAATATTGAATTTTGGTGGCATCACTTTAACCGTTCTAGAGTTATGCCCCTTTATAAATGGAAAAATTGCAAAATTTTTAGTTTCCGTTCTCTAATTTATTGTAGGTATAGCCAATATAGTTAGCTCATTTTTTTCATCATATCCAGTCACAGGGAGTTTCTCCAGGTGAGTTTCCTCTAATAACATTCAGATTTTGTAATTAACTCTTTTGAAAAAAGTTTTTCCCTGAAATGTGCAATTTGATGTGTAGGTGGAATATTTTTTTAGGTCAAGATAACTGTATCAAACTTAAATTCAAATTTTCAATTTTAATATTTTGATTTCAACATTTTTAAAACACTTTATAAAATCTTAATTATAATAAATCATATGTAAGAAAATTAGTTAACAGTTTTAAAAGTATAACTTATATGACAAAAAGATTTTTTTTAAAAATAATTCATATGAAGACTATATGTCTCTACTTTTAGCCATTTCATTATTTGATTTTCTCTTCTGTTCTGTAGAACTGCAGTAAATTCACAGAGCGGTGTTCGGACTCCAGCTTCTGGGATAGTCACTGGTGCAATAATACTGTTGGCATTACAAGTGTTAACACCATTGTTTAAATACATTCCTAAATCTGCCTTGGCAGCTGTTATCATCTCGGCCGTAATACAGATGGTGGATTATGAAATTCCACGAACATTATGGCGGGTGAAAAGTAAGTTTCTTATTGTGATCTTTGAGTCTGTCTGTCTGTTCATTCATTCCTCCTTTGTTGGTTGGTCTGTTGGTCTTTCAGCACTTATAACTAAAACTTAGTAACAAGGGAATCAATTTCAATGAAATTTTAAGAAAATCTTCAACACTCAATGGCACCTTCTAGTTTATTAAATATTCTGTTTGGGTCAATATGCACAAAGACTAATGCAATAATCTTTTAATTGTGTGGTAAATATTTATACACGAAACTTTTTTAATTTATCTGTGTTGTTCTGTTTTTATGCAGAAAAAAAATGTGTTTACATACATTTATCTATTTAAAGGATTTTTGAATTTTCCCAAGACAAAACATTGATTTTTACCATATCTGTACAAATTGGGAAGTCAGGAATGATTACGTAACTCTGCTCCGTTTTCCTAGTGATATTTATTTTTTATTTCTGTATTCATATTTAGTATTCAATATTATGTAAATGTTTTATTGTTGTTGTTTTTCAGAACTTGACCTCATACCCTTAATAATAACATTTATTTCCTCGCTGGCAGTTGGAATAGAAGTAAGTTAAAAAAAAAAAAAGGCAGCATCTTTTTATCTTTTTATTTTAACATTTAGTGATGAATAAAAGGGGAATTTGGGGTAAACATCAATGAAACAGCAACTCAAGTTAACCGAAAATAAACATCTGTAAGGTTTTGAATATGGACGACAATTCACAAGTGCCCAACAACATGTATATAAACAAATATATTTCCTTAATATTAAAATAAAAAGCATCAGATACAATGCAAGAATTTATGGTCTTGGTATAAGTATATCTTTTTCTGTCATTTTAAGTATGACAATGTTAATTCTACCAGCATGTGATATTTTGTCAGTCACATGGTTTATGGTTTTCAAAGAAACTAGAATTTACACTTATGAAACTAAGCACTACATATAGGACCAATTAAGAACACTGTTGCATTATGGGAGTATAATTGTTTCAAAAAATTCTTAATTTTTTCATACAACATTTATGTAGACTCTTAGGCTGAACATCATATGTATGAGTAATGAAGTAAATTAATAATTGGTCCATTGTAAAAAAAAACCCACACAAAGTGATGTTAATACCTATTAACATATAATCAACTGTAGATTAAAATAATATCTTTTTTTTGCAGTATGGCATTATAATTGGTGTTGGTATTTCTTTGATTATGTTGTTGTATCCCATGGCCAGACCAAAAATTAAGGTAAGAGTTGAAAATAAACCAATCAAAAACTATGTGTCATAGAGTAAATTGGCATTTTATATAAAAAAAAAGGTTTAAGCAACTAAAGGTATGGCATTCAACAATGAGCAAAACCCTTACCATATAAGAAGCTATAAAAGTCCCTGATATGACAGTTTTGAATTAAAGTCTTTGCAAATAGTTAATGATAAAGTTATCATTTTTTTTAATTTTTAAAACCTTTTACTTCCCTGTGTATACTTATATCATATTCCTAGATAGATACATATCTTGAAACAAGTGAGCATTAATAAACATAAAAAAATAAATATGATTCCAGATTTTAGATTTATGCTTTCCAAAAATTGGCAGTCAGGTAGATTTAAGTCATTATATGCTTAACTTTTAGTTGCACATACAAAAAGAGAGGGATTTAGAAAATGGTTTCTTCTTTTAAACATGAGAGTAAATATTGTAACAACAATGTAATGTTTTTGTTTCATTATTGCATGTTTAAAAAAAATAAAATGTTGTTAAATTTGTAAAATTGCATGTGGTTACCAATGTGCATTGTAAGATTATTGCATAAAATTGGTGCTGAAATTAGAATTATATTGAAAGTGCACTTTAGAAAAACTTGAAATTTAAAAATATTCAGTTTGGGACAATATTTACCAAGGTTTGTGTAATAATCTTACAATTGTGTGGCAAATCTTTACATAAAATATGTTTTAACTGGTCTGTATTGTTCTGTATTTTTATGTGGTAGAAATAAATCTGTTTCGATATCAGGAAATAATGAATTCTGTAAGAGCTCTAATTTTGATATACAAGGGAAACATCACAATTTATCTTTCTAAGCTAGAGTCTTAAAAACACAAGTCAAATAAACACAACAACTGTTATCTAATGTTTTCTTTTATATGCCGCTACTGAAATATTACCATACTTTGAAAAAAAATGTTCTTGCTTAAAGCTTCATTTTTTTTCATTTAAATTTATCTTGCTAAACCTTTTTTTGACAGAATTTGTACCAGCTCATGTGTTTTTTTTGGGTATAAATGATGAAAATTACCAGATCCATGTAACATTTCACCCTTCTGTACATTATAATTCCTGCAGCCATCTTAACCTTTGCAGCATTTTGCAGAATTTTGCAAGAATTCAAAGAAATAGCTTAATTAATTCTTAATGCAACTTTAGCAATAATCATGGAGGTAGACAGAAAAATTTGATAATACATGTATATATATTTTTTTTTCAGACAGTACCAACTGATGCAAACAATATATTAGTATTAAAGATAAATCATGGTTTGAATTTCCCAGCTGTTGACTATATTCTAGAAGAAATGGAACATCTGTCAGAAAAAGGTGAGAAATATATAAATAAAAGGTGATGTGGGGTCAATGTCAATGAGACAGCAACCCAACAGTCATTCAGAAACAGATGAGAGGGTATTTGATAGATACAAGTGGGTAAATTTGAAATTTGTACGAATATGTTCTAGTTCCAAAAAGTTTCACAATGTATGAAGCCGTTAAAAACAGAAATGTGTACAATGTGGAGATGTGGTATGATTGTTAATGAGATAACTATCCATCAAAGATCAAAGGACCAGGATGTAAACAATTTTTAGAGTAAAAGATTTTGTTTTATAAATTTAGAAAAAAATTGATCCTATTCCTTTGATACCATGCAAAAATGACTTCTTATTAGAGCTAATTTCCTAATGCTTAAAGATTAAGACTTTTGTTGGCCAGCTTGCTTTGTTTGTATAAATGTTTTCTCAAGTATTGTAATTAAGATTGACATCTGCAAACAATATAGATTGGGCAGAGTTCAACCTTACTAACATTGTCTTGTAATGTTTACATGTACAATTGGGTGTTCTTAACCTACAGGATAACATCCAATCAAATGTTTATGTATAATGTATACAGGTTTAACTCCACCTATTTTATATGGTTTGCAGATGTCAATCTTAATTACAATGCTTGAGCAAACGTTGATACAAACAAAGCATGAAAAGCCAACCAAAATCTTACTCTACAAGCATTAGGAAATTAGCTCTAACACTCATATCAGCACAATGTATCTTCAAAATTAATTTCTTTCAATTTCAGACGGCAGATACCAGTCAGTTGTTTTAGATTGCAGTCATATATCAGAAATAGACTATAGTTCTATACAAGTAAGTATTTAGAAATATGTTTGAACAGCAAAATTTATGCTTATAAAGCATCTATATATAGATATTGCCGTATTAGTTAAATTTTATTACAATACAATACAATACTTTATTCTCTAAAAACCAATACAATCAAAGGTACAGAGGTATTAATTTTGTTGTTTATAATTTGTATAGTTAATTAGCTAATATGACATTTAGATGCAACAAAGCTCAACCCATTAATGATTTCTCATTGTTATATAATTTTAATGTAGCAGTTAATAAAATAACTTTTTATGCCTCACAATGTATTGTCTTTCATTTTGCAGTGTATAAAAGAAATGATTGTTGAATTTGCAAGGAGAGATTCAAAGATTGTCTTTGCCTGTATTACAGTAAGTTAGAAATTTAATTTGAAACAATCAGTCCCCGATTTGTGAAATTGTGCTTCATATTAAGGTTTACATTGACAAAAAAGGGGGCTGCCATTGTCAGGGTTATAATGACCTCAAGTTTGCCAATAAAAATTTCCTGCATTTGAAGGTGCAATGAAATTGTTGTAACACATAGTTTATAGTTTTCGACCTTCGTGATGTATCAGGAATTTTTATGACATTTCATATAGTCAAACTATTAAAAAGAATTAAACAAAAATAAAAACAAAAACAAAAATACATAAAATTGCTGAATTAGAAAATGAAGGTGATTAATTTCTGCCATAAACAGGTCAAATGTTAGCTCTGGTTGACCTAAAAAAGATAAATCATTTATATTTTTAAATATTAGAGCTTTCATTTATAATTCAAATTTTCGATATTTTATAATTAATTGCTTAAAGTTTCCATTTATAATGCAGACTCTAATGGTTATTTTTTTATTTCACAGGAAAAAGTATTTCGATACATAGAATATGCAGAAATAAATGACCTTGTGGTCAGTGCTACAATAAAAGATGGCTGTAGGATATTACAAGGTAAGAATAGATTTTAACATAAAGCTGATTCGTTATTATTTATTGAATGCTGATTTTTATGGATATTTGATAGGAACAATCAGCTAATAGAAGGCCAAATACACCTTGTATGATAACTGTTCTAAGTACTTAATTCAATGAACAAACTTTTTTTTGAAGAAAATGTTAAACAATGAGTCCAAATTAAATAGAAAAATGGGAGTATTAATAAGTGCAGAATTGGTACATAAGAAAAAAGTAAAAAAAAATGTGTCTGTTGTGATTTGTGAAGCATTCCTGTTTTCTTTTTTTTTTCTCGGGACCTTCATTTTAAACAAAAAGAAGTCTTAAAATGTTTCATACTATTGTTTATTCTGAACAGGCTGGCTGAAAAAAAATCAGTCTATTTAACTACACTGAAACGTTAGAAAAAAGTAAAGAGAGATGGGGGCAGAAAAAAAAAACAGAAATTGAAAAAAAGACAGAAAATACCATTGTGAAAAGAAAAAAGATAAACAACAGTCTGCAAAATACTACAGTTAGACCAAGAGTTGCATCCCATTACACATGTATAAATTTTTACTGGAACTAATTCAGCCGTCACAAAGTGTTGCAGCTTTCAAAAAAGCTGAACATTAGTCATTAAAAATTTTGGCATATTTCATTTCTATGCTTCCCTTGAGAGTTTTGGAAAGATTATCTGTGTGATTATGATCAATCAAATCATGAGATCTTCCTTGTCACTTTTTCAAAAAAAAATATTTGATAACTATTTTTATACTTTATTTCAGATGAGTTAAAGAAAGAACTCCAGAATGGTGAATTACCACATACCCTCGGAGAAGCTACTGTTATTGTTGATATTAGCAGCCGTTTGTAATATTGAACTAAGTGAGATTATAAAACAAAAATCATTGTTTATACCATACATCATCGGACAAACTTCATCCTTGTATTATGTGATAAAATATTTCAAGAAATTGTCTAAATATGATCAAATGCTTAGTCATTTTCTTGATCTTTTGAATTATGTGATTGTATATTTTTTTAAATGGCTAATGTTGGATATTATATTGTTCCATTTTATAATGGTACCATCATGGTTCCGTTAAAAAATTTTGTGTTGGATTGGCGGATCAAGGGGGGTCTTCTGGGTGTTGGAACCTCCCTCCTTTTTTTCCTCAATTTTTTTTGTGTTTTTTTTTTGTGTGAATATTTCATGGTGTTCCGGGGGTTTTCCCCCCTTTCAAAATAGCTGGATCCGCGCCGGTGTTGTATTGTGTTTAGGTTCAAAACTGTATTGTTGATAACATAACATTATTGAGAGCTGTGATGATTTTAACTATGGTGATTTATATTTTTACAAATAGAGGCATTCAAAATAATTGTATGTAACTTGAACTTGTTATTGATCGTTAAATAAAAATTGCTTATATTTGTCTGTATGAAAAAATAACCAGAATTATGCTTAAAGAACTTATTTCTTGTAAGATGTGTGCAAAATCGTTTGTTCTGAGATGAATGCTTGAGAAAAGCTAAAAGTTTATAGGATTACTCATTCTCTTAAAAAGTTTCACTATTAAGGTAATGAATAATAAATTTGTATTCATTCATAATTATCTGAATTACTTCCCCTTTCTCTACCTAACTTTATTAAATTATAACTAAAATCAGAACTTCCCTTTTCCTATAAAGTTGAAATATTATTAAAAGAGTAAACAAACAAAACCAAAACAAACTAAACAAACATTTCATGGCTGAATTAGAATAATAACCAATATTTGAAGAGAAAAATACAAATTTACAAATTTAGGGCTATTCCATTAAAATGTATGTGGGAGGGTAGGAAGGGAAGTTTAATTATTGAATGTGGGTCATGGGTCTTTTTTCAGTATGCATCTATTACCATTATGCAAAATTATCTTAAAAATGATTCTTGGTTGTAGGGATATTTTGAAAGTCCCTTCCTACCCTCCAACATACATTTTAATGGAATAGCCCTTACTTGTTGGAATAGAGTTTGCATATTCAAGATTATTTTCTTCAATTTTCGTGTCAGAACTTCGTAAAAAGACAAAGCCATATGATACTTTATGTTTTTGTTTAGAATACAAGTAGTAATTTACGGGGCTCTCTATTCTTAAAATTATAGATTTGCAGTGTGTAAAAAATCAAAGAACATTTTCCTTAGGGACGGTGAGAATCTGTGTGACAATATAGATTAAGATTTAAGCAGACGTAGTTAAAAGTTACAAGTTAAAACATTTTTACACACAGAAGCAGGTTGTTCAAATTGTTGTAAAGATATTTTTGTTATTTTGTTTATAAGTGCTTGTTTTAAATGTGACCAGTATTTGTTTTATAAGAATATATGTATTTTGTAAATGATAATTATTATTATGTATTTATATGAATTTTATATGAATAAAACTGAAGTAAATTAGTCTCTATTCTGTAATATGTTCGATGTGAAAGAGCTGTCATGAAATGTTTAATTTGTCTTTACATGTGGATTATCAAAGTTCCTTCTATTCCTTATAATATGTCTTTGTAATTGGCACTTCACAGATCAATGGCTTTGGTTAACTTTTGTGTCAAAGTACAATCTCAGTTCAGTTTTAGCCACACTTAATCGTCTCATCTGCTGCAATATTTGAATTGTTGTTAAAGAGAAATACATCTGAAACTGAGGTCAACTCAATTGTCAGATGAGATTGGTAAGATGCACAAGTTCATGGACATGTAATTAATTCACATGCAAAATATTTTCAACCTATCATGTAAAATTTTTAGCTACATGTACTCACTTGATTAAAAAAAATAATTGATCACTTCAAATGATGTCAAAGCCATATGCAATAGGTCAGATGAATATATTCCCTCCAACCAAATCCACATATATACCTGTATTGACCTATTATGCATAGTTACTGAGGAACTAAGTCTACAAGTATCAAATAAACTTACAATTTTTAGAGATCCGTGACAATGAAGTCAAGGTCAGGTAAACCCTATTAGACAGACATGTCAGTGGCGGATCCAGAAATTTTCATAAAGGGGGGCCCACTGACTGCCTAAGAGGGGGCCAGCTCCAGTCATGCTTCAGTGATTCCCTATATAATCAACTAAATTTTTCCCACAAAAGAGGGGGGCCTGGGCCCCCTGAAAAACCCTCTAAATCCGCCTCTGCATGTACACCTTACACCAAACATAGTGGACCTGTTGCTTATAGTAATCGAGAAACAGAACAAACCATGAAAATGGGATCAATGTCAGATGTGATACATGCCAGAGACATTAAAACCTTACAATCATTCCATGCACTATATATAGTTGACAATATTGCTTATAGTAACTTAAGTAACAGACTTAAGAAGGAAAAGTAAAACTTAGTTGATTGATTGATTGTTGGTGTTTTAACGCCACATTTAAGCGCCACTTTTGGGCTATTTTGTGGCGGCCAGTTTTTATTGGTGGGGGAAGTCGGAGTGCCCAGAGAAAACCAACGACCTTCGATAGGAAAACTGACAATCCTAGTCAATTAAGATTGTAGTCGAGTGCACCAAAACTTAGTTGACCTATCGCTTATAGTATATGAGAAGAGGACCAAAACAGGAAAGCGAACATTGACCTATGAACTATAAAAATGAGGACAAGGTCAGATGATACCTGCCAGACAGACATGTACATCTTACAATTATTCCATACACCAAATAAAGTTGACCTATTGCTTATAGTATTTGAAAAACAGACCAAACCACAAAACTCAACATTGAACAATGAACCATGAAAATGAGGCCAAGGTCAGATGAAACCTGTCAGACTGATATGTTCACCTTACAAACATTCCATACATCACATATAGTTGACCTACTTCTTAAATAGTATCTGAGGAACAGACCTAATCCCCAAACTTTAACCTTGATCATGGATCCATAAAATGAGGTCAAAGGTTGGGTGAACTTTTGTCTGGCGGACATGTAGACCTTGCAAGGAACCAATATACCAAGTATAGTTATCCTGTTATTCATAATTAGTGAGAAATTCACATGACAAAAGCGGTCGCTGAACTATGAAAATGAGGTCAAGGACAATGGACATATGACAGACGGAAACTAAGTAACACAAGCTACCAGTATACAAGTTATGGAGCATCCAGGTCTTCTACCCTCTGAAATATAAAACTTTATAATAATAGTATCTGCCACTGCCCGATAGTAATCTCTGTCTTGCATACTGTGACTTTCGTCACACACCAAACAAAAACTAGCTCAAAAGGTAACAATTGTCAGGAAGATATGTCACACTACTCCAAAACATTATTCTGACCATTCTTACTCCTTAAGGGCAGTTAATTGTTAAAAGCAAATACCAATTTTTTAGTCCTTGGTTTGACCCAGATAGGGATTCAACCCATAACCTTCCTCAATCCAGGCAAGCATTCTAGTACAAGACCATTGAGGAGGAGTCTTAGTAAATAAGACAGTTTGACCTGTTCTCAGTTTTGAATCGCCTAAAAAATAGATTACAATTTTCAGCAAGCAGCATACCTGATGAAGCCAGACAACAGGATCATATTGATGGGCCAGTGTGTAGATGTAGCTGCAAATTGAAAAGTTTGTTGGTAACTACTACACAGAGGTAGAATATCTTTAAAATCAAGATAACAATGAAAAAAAGACATAATTTCTGTCAAAATTGGATAAAACTGGCAGCGTAGAAAATGATGAAAATGTGATGTGATATTTTCCTCTGATCACAACCAAACGAGGAATTTATATAAAAGACCTTTGATATACATGTATTACTATTGTCAACTTTGGTTTAGATTAGCCTGGTAGTTTCAGAGAAGATAATGAAAATGAAACTATCTAACGATGGAAGGACAATGAATGCAAACTGATGGCAATAACCCACATGACCTTCTGGACCAGGTCAGACGCCATCACGAGTTGGTTGACTGTTATGGAATAACCGTTTCACAGATGATATCTGATATGTTCCTTATGTCGTAACTACAAGACCCTTCCCTTTTCATGAATGTGACCTACCGAATAAGACTATTTACCGGATTTGTAATAACATAAGCAACACGACGGGTGCCACATGTGGAGCAGGATCTGCTTACCCTTCCGGAGCACCTGAGATCACCCCCAGTTTTTGGTGGGGTTCGTGTTGCTTAGTCTTTAGTTTTCTATGTTGTGTCATCTGTATTTTATTTGTCTGTTTGTCTTTTTATTTTTGGCCATGGCGTTGTCAGTTTGTTTTCGATCTATGAGTTTCACTGTCCCTCTGGTATCTTTCGTCCCTCTTTTAAAACAAATTTGTTCTAAAAAAACAACAAATAAGAAGAATAATACCTTGTTTATTCATAATCACAGATATTTTATCTGTTTGGCAACAAAGAATGACTTACATATAAAAATAACAAATCATAAAAATAAAACATAACAAAATATGGTTCATAACACAACACTGTGCACAATTAAACTTTATATCAATGTAACAAAATATCTCTGTTTTTCTGAAATGATCTTCAATATTGGATGTTGACATTTTGTGTGAGTACAAGGTGTAAGAAAATGACCTGATCTTTGATGAAGATGAAGGGATCATATATTTATTCTTTAGAGCATTCCTCAAACAAAACATGGCAAGTGGATTTTAACTTTGTTGTTTTGTTCTATTTCAGGTAAAAGAAGTGGGGTATTTTTTTTATGATGGAGAAACTATTTTTGCCCCAATTAACAATCTTCAGTCATCATCAGTTAAATCAAACCAAATTTTACATAGAAATTCAAGGTTTTTATGTGTATCGCTCTTCAAATAGTGAAATGATAAAATGTAACATAATTTTTTTTTTAAACGCATAGAAATATATTAATTATTTGTATTTCTGGTAGCTTCTTCCAAGTTTTATGGTTTGTAGAAAAAGCCATAATCTGCTCAACTTCAATGGTTTGTTAAAAAAACAATAATTTGCTAAAGGGGTAGGCCCAGTAAGACCCCCTTTTGGTCCCAAAATATAGCATTTTTACAGATTGTTAAAAATGTAAACTTTTAGCTATTTATTGGAAAGTAGAATACTTTTGTTACATAAATATGGGCTGCTTTTGACAATACAATGCACATGCATCAGGTACTATCATCATTAATTCATGCAAAATTACTGAAATATTCACAATTTTAGCATTTGTGCTAATTTTAAGATGGTTTTTGTCTAAAATGGAAGTGGCCGCACTTGTGTTCAGTCTTAATATTTAAATATATCTTGTATTTGATGATAATACATAACATATATAAAGGTTGAGACTGAACACGAATGCGGCCAATTACATTTTAGACAAAAACCATCTGAAAGGTTACGTTTTATGGCATATTTGATAGATTTTTCATATTTAAGCTTCAATTTGAGCGTCATTTATGACCAAATCAGTTCAAATCTTTTACATAAACTAATTGAATCAACTGAAGTAGACACTTAAGTGTTTAAAAAAAGTAAAAAATCTTACATCGGATGTACTTCAAATTTTAGGGCCAAAATTAGCTCTTACCGGACCTTCTACTTTCATGGTTTGTGGAAAAACAATAATTTCTTCATGGTTTATGAAAAATATGGATGAATCTATGGCATTGAACTATTAAAACTCATTATAAATCTATGGTATATATGCCTTTCATTGAGTATTAAATTTTGAGGTTTTAGTGAATTATGAAATCCAGATAAATTTGTTCAATATCCATAAATTTAAAGATTGCAATAGACATATAATATAAAACTTTAAATGCATTTGTTTACAGCTTTTCAAATAGATATGAAACAAGTTTTGAAACTCATTTACAAACATCATCTCTATCTTGAATACATGGCATGATACAAAATGAGATTCACATTTTCAACCTTCCAGAAACTGAGATCAATTCATAAATATGACAAATTTTAATGGCTTCAGATATCCCATGATGCACTTGGTTGACATCTGCTGAACTCAAACTTCACTGGTTTTCTGCCTGCTGCCCTTTGCTCTGTTCCCCATCAGTTTTTCACATACTGCACGATGTAATTGGACTTGTCCTCTGCTCCCTACAAACTTTTCATCATCTCCAGGCTTTCCCAGACTTTTTCTTCTTTGGGGCAACTGATGCTGCTGATGTAGTTGATGATTTTGCTGAAAGACAAAAGAATATTTTAACAATACTACTTTATTTCTGCTCATTATCAATCAAACACACCACTAATAGAGCAGAAACTCTGATCCTTCCAGAACACCTGGGTTTGCCCAGTTTTTGCTGGGGTTTGTACTGTGCAATATATATTTTCTTTGTAGTGTTTGTCTGTTAACAGTAAAAACAAATTTCAAGAAAACCATCAATCTCTGAAGCAATAAAAACAACAAATACATTTCATTATGCTGATCATATGAAAGGCTTTTACAGGTCTTTAGTTAAAAAAAGTAATAGGAAATTGATAGGGTCAATCATTTAGGAATAAAATTTGTGGTGTACAGATATTACAGGATCTGAAACAGGATATTATTTTGATTAGGACTGGATCTAGAAAATAAATAGCAGTTTGTGTTGCATATTTGTTTTGATTAAAAAAAAACAAAGTTATCCACAATAATCCACATTTAGAGCGAACAACGATTTTCATTTTGATACTGCTTCTGACCTGTCATAACACAGTTATTCCTCATCCACTACAACCCAAATTAAATATGAGCAATGATTTAGAAACTGTTACAGCTACCAAAATGTTTGCTATTAAATATGACATGATTTGTAACCACACACTACACAATAATTAACAGAGCTATAATATTTTTTCAAGATTATCACATTTATGCTCTAAAATGCATGACCCTAGCATTTTAGTTATTTTACGATAACAAAAATGTGTTATGATGAAAGAATGATATTTTATGAAGCAATTAAAATTAAACACAATTAAAAATGAAAAATCCCACTTATCCAAGCTTTTACCTCATTTTTTCTGTATCTAGCTAAAACTGGATAAAAATAGAAACTTTAATAAGGTTGAACCCACAGAAAAGAATTTATGCAAAATGAAAGTTAAACCCTAATTAATCAACCAAGATTGAACAATGTCAAGGAGGTTGACTAAAATAAATTTTCCATAAAAAAAAAAGATCAAGGAAAAAAAATTGCTGAAGTAATCAAGTGACTGTGTTTCTAATTGTAAATGTGTAAGCTACTAAGTTTTGCAATCAACAGAGGATGCTTCAGTGTTTAAAATTGAATAAGTGCCTGTCTGCCTAAGAATCAGGCAGTGATGAAAACATGACAAACAAAAACCCACTCAAGTCTACATTAATTTCAGTTCCTTATATGTAGTAATGCTTGAAAATAACGTTCATTTCCTTTTTCTGTTCTTATTATATATTATAGAAGATATAATTTGGTTCAAATGCACTGGAAATGAACATTTGGCAGTTGGCAGTTTTTGTCTGACCATGTTTTAATTATTCAAATTGCCTGAATCTTACTTGGACTGGCACTTAAATTGATTAAGCCACATAATTTGTAGGTTTACATGTGTTAAATAAATTGCTTCACAGAGTGCAGCTGGATACAACCGCAGAGGTCCAACCCTGAACAGTTGGGGCAAAAATGGACACAATATTCGTGCTTGATACAGGTCTGAATTTGGATTGTAATTAAATATTTGACACATAATAGGTTTTTGACACAGAATAACTGTAGTCAAAGAACTAAGAATTGGTTATATAATTTGAATTTATATTCAATTTTTTGCTTTTGTGCAATACACTATGCTGTTGCGAATTGACCCCCCCCCCCTTTTTTTTGCAAAAAAAAAACACAAATATTTGAAGAAATTTTCTTTTTAATTTCAGAAATCTGAAATGAGAAAAAATTGTCCCCCCCCCCTCCTTTTTCAAAAAAAATATATCTTTCCCTCAAGATATGGTCATAATCTCAATTCAAATTTCCAATGGAGTTTGCAACCATAATTACCCATTTAAATACATTAAAAAAGTCTTAAAATAGAAAATGACATACATAATCATGGCTAAAATTAATATTCCTTAATCAGCATTTTTAATAGTAACTTCTTAAAATAAATTGACAGCTAATCACCTCAAGACAATACAACATTTCTTTATACATAATTTAAAAGCAGTGTAAGGGAGGTAATCCAAACATAACATTGTACTTATAAGTAATTGTCCATTAACTAGGAAACCCTTGTTTTCCCCCGTTTTCTGCCCCTTATTCCTAAATGGTTTGAGCCATAACCCCCCCCCCCCCAAAGCTAATCCTAACCATCCCTTTGTGGTATGGAAACTTGTAATCTAATTTTAGAGAGATCCATACACCTTTCCACAAGTTATTGTCTAGAAACTAGAAAAATGCTTATTTGGGCCCCTTTTTGGCCCCTTATTCCTAAACTGTTAGGAACATAACCCCCAAAATCAATCCCAACCTGCCTTTTGTGGTTATAAACCTTGTCTTTAAATTTCATAGATTTCTATTTACATATACTAAAGTTATTGTCCGGAAACCAAATGTCTTTGGATGATGCAGACGATGACGACGTGATACCAATATACGACCACAAATTTTTTTGTGGTCGTATAAAAAGTTCATTGTTTTTTTTAGATCTGATTAAATTATTATATTTCACCTTTCACCAGATGACTTTTATTAGTACTTTGGAAAGATTCTCTGAGAAGCTATTGCATTTTAAAATTATATTATTGATTATTCTTTTATTTTGGTGACAAAACAAAAATGCAAGGAAAACTATAAATAACATTCAACGAACTGTTGACACAGAGATATGTCTCACCTGTATGTAATTTTTATAGTATAAAGCAAATGTTGGAATCTTAATGGAAACATTTTGACATGTAATAAAGCACAAAATTTTCAAAGTGAATGGACATAACTGAGGTGGTGAGGCCAAATAACATCCATGGAAATGAGAAGTGTTAATGATAATACACCTTCCTTCAAAATATCACTGACATACCATTAGAGGTTCCCCTTAATGTGACCTAATCACAATCTTTAAAAATAGTCACACTGTTGCCGTTACTAGAAACAGCAACGCTAAGTGTTGCTTCCTTGACTTGGTGTCTAGTGAGACACTAAAAAATTTAAATTATGTGTTTTTGACGTATTCATATTCATATAATAAATGAAATATGGTATGAACCTGTACTAGCTGTTTTCCTTGTTTTAGTTGCTGCTGTAGCTGCTGTCTGCTGATTGGAAGGATTAGTTGCTTGGTGTACTGGATGCTGATGTTGGACTGGCTGACTTGGTGCTGTTTTTGGACGAGTTTTCATTCTGAAAAAAAAGCAATTCTATTTATTTTTTTATTCTTAGAATATTAAAAAAATATATATTTTAACAATAAGGACTAAAAAAACTTTACTAAATGATATCATTAATTCTATAAATCAATTTCTTTCAATCCTGCCCTAAAATACATAATGAATTTCCATTTTGACTGTTTTCCTCATGCATATATCGTTTGAGGATTTCTATCTCGCCAAAATAAAATCTTTTAATAACAAACTAATTTTGTCTTAAAAAAAACTTATATTAAATGCATGATATGATGTACCTTGCCGTGGTATTGCCACTCTGTGATGTGTTATGACTGTGTGTAATATGAGATGGTTGCAGAGCCCTGGATAAAAGAAATTGGAAGTGTCTTCTCAAAGGTCCACTGAAATATCAATTGTTTTTAGGAGCGATAGTTAGATAGCATGCACAACAGTTAGAAAGACTACTAAAAGCCAACCAAAAAAAGCATTAAAGCAAAACAATAAGAGCTAGCAAGGCAAAGTTTTGAAATTTGGATGAAAGTAAAAGGTTTGTCAAATTTCAATACATAAGCGAGATAAGGAGTAGGTATGCTATTAAAGATCCCTATTTGATCTAAAATTTCCAAAATATTGTAAAATCTGATGACTTTTGCATAAAAAAAGATAAGTATGTGCAAAGTTTAAATTGTAAAGCCTTTTAAATTTCATTATTAGTCAGCTCAATGTTACAATTTTTCTACAAAAATCTTAAAAATGTAAAAATTTTCATATTTTGACAGATATTTGGGACAAGCATGAGTGGAAAATTTTGGGCACTTGCAAGTACCAAAATCAATATTTATATGAAAGTAACTGTTTTATATGAAAGTAACTGCTAAAATAGACTCACACTTTGATTAATTATTTATTTGGTACCTGCATAATTGTAGGTAAAAAAATTATTTAAAAAATTGACAAAAATGTATGAACTTTTCACAAATGTACACAGAAGGGTTTTGATCTCACAACTACATTTATTGTGACATTATTGGATCATAAACTACCTGTCCTTAGTTTTGAATATTTCAAGTTTAAAATAGACATAAATCGAAATTTCAGTGAAGTTAAATAAGACCCTCAACACACCTTTTACTCTGAAGAATTGAAATTCAAGTACACACATATTGGAAGTTCAAAGTCAAATGAACTGAAGAGATGACCAGTTGAAAATACATATAAATGCAAAACCTGTCTGAAGGGACAGAAGAATTTGTTCAGCTTAACATTTAGGTGTTTGACTACAAAAGTTTGAATGGTTCAAAATTATTCCAATTTCAGACTAATAAATGAGTTATATCTAAACAGGTTTCTCTGTCAAAAAATTTGTAAGGGTTCAACGGAACCCAGTGTCTCGCCTACTTTTGCTGTTAATCGCAGGCTCAACAAAAATGAGGAAAAAAATTAATAAAAATATTCCTCTCAATACTATCTTTTGATTGTAAGAAGCTTCTGTCCAAGTTTGGTAAAAATCCAGGATAGTTTATGAATCTAATAAATGTTTTAAAAACTTTAACTGTAATGTTAACTGGAAGAAAAACTGAGTCCATTTATAAGTAAAATACGAAAAAACAGGTACAAAATTTTAACAAAATTTCCTTCTAGATACTAGCTTTTGATCATAAACAAGCTTTTGTCCAAGTTTGGTACAAATCCAGGATAGTAAGTTATTAAAATTTTAAAAACTTTTACCACAGAGTGAATGTAATGTTTCCTGGCAGAAAAACTAAGTCCATTTATAAGTAAAATACGGAAAAAAAATTAATTCTTTTTACTAAATTTACATCTGGATACTATCTTATGATCATAAACAAGCTTCTGTCCAAGTTTGGTAGAAATCCAGAATAGTTAAAGAAAGTTATCAAAATTTCAAAAACTTTTACCACAGAGTGAATGTAATGTTTCCTGGCAGAAAAACTAAACTAAGTCCATTTATAAGTAAAATTCGGAAAACTATATTTTTTTTTTTTTTTAAATTAACTTCTGAATACTATATCTTATGATCATAAACAAGCTTCTGTCCAAGTTTGGTAGAAATCCAGGTTAGTTTAAGAAAGTTATTAAAATTTCAAAAACTTTAACCACAGAGTGAATATTTGTGGACGCCGCCGCTGACAACGGCGACGGAATGTAGGATCGCTATGTCTCGCTTTTTCAACAAAAGTCAAAGGCTCGACAAAAATCATGAAATATGTATATGGCCATTCAGAAAAATGGTTGTTTTCAAGGTCAATGTAGACTGACTTTTTATGTCTATTGAATAAACTTGGGTGTTAAATGAATCCATACCTTTCAAAATTATCTCTGCAAACACTCAACATATGAAATAGTTTTGTAACTGAAAATTTGCAATTTATGTATTGAATCAAAATATATCCAATAAGTTTTTGTAAATAGACCATATACAAAAATTCAATATCAGACTGTTAAGATCAAGCAGACTTGGCGTTAGAAACAGAATTTCATTTGAATGACGTTTACACATGCAACTGTTAAACAGTAAAAGAAAATACAAAAGGTTAAAGAATGACTGCACTAATCAACATTCTAGTTAAAACAAGCATGCAAAAAATTCAAAATACATCAAATATAATATGACAGCTGCTACAATTTTAAAACATTTTGTGAGAAAAATTTTCATGCATGTGTAGATATATGGACTCCAATAATTATTTGTGTTAGATTTCATTACTTATGTTTTTATGTATAATCTTAATTTTGAGGTTCCTTTCATGTGCATTGTACTATGTGCAAATATACTTATGTTTCATAAAGAAATTTATGTCATGTAGTAACCGTGTGGTAAGTTTTGTAAACATCTCTTGATCTGTTTTCAGCAATTGAAATTTTATAATTGTGAGATTTTCCATTTTTTATTCATATTGATGGAAAAAAAACCAAAGAAGCATCAGACAAAACAATTTTTTCTTGTCTTGATAATAAAACAAAAAAATTACACAAAAAAGATATTACTTTTTTCAATGATATAAGATTTACATAAATGATAACAGTATTATCAATTGAAGAGTAACTTACTATTTTTGGTATTAAAATCTTTGAAGTTGATGCATTGAGCCTAACTGAGGAAGTTAAGATTTTACAAAACTTTCAGCATAAAAACAAATTTTTGAAACAAACCTGATTCTCTATATATATCCATTCCATAATTTCAATAGTTACAATCTTATTATTTTTGTATCTTTTTAGATTTTCCAATGTCAACCCAGAGTGCACTGAAGGAAAGATAACTCTTCTTCATATCCATATTGTAAAATATGTTTTCAAAGTTTTTATCCCTTAGAACATACCTTAAATCTGTACTTTCTCTCTGACATCTTTCATCAACATGAGGTGCAGACCTTGGTCTGATGTCACCAAACACAGCTGATTCAGCCTCTCTTTGATAAAGTCAAGGAATAATAGTCTACTTAGTTATTGCATATCATGTATGATTTTCAAAACACTTATAAATGCATTTGGAAAGGTTTATTTTTTCTATCTCATTTAAAGTATTTATAAGACAACACTGATTTGTTGGCTACTAGAAGAAATAGAATTGAAGGCGTTATACTAATTCATTAAATAAATGTTTGAAATTGTTCCTGTCCAGTAGGTCAAATGTCAGTTGATTCTGAATATTATTTGTTCTTGCTAAACACTCAATTTTATGGCCAAATGATTATATTTAGAAGTAGAATTTTGTGTCACAATTGTAGTCACATAGATAAAATTTTCAACTGATCCTTTTGGCAAATAAAAGTGTTTGTTCTGATTTTTTTTCACCCTTGTACACTATATCTGTTCCAAGTTAAGAGCCCACATCTGTGGATGACTTTACCATCTTTCTTTACAATCTGTCTTACAATTATTGAGAATGGTAAAGGGTTATTTTCTTGCAACATGTTTGCAATTTTCATTTCATTAGTTTTTTGAGCTTGTAGCTTGTTATAGATGGTGTTTCCTGCAAATTGGAAAAGCAACATGCAAGCTATTTTTTCAATTTTCATTCATTGTAAAATGGCAATTTTACTTCCCGTTCATCTTGCACATACCCCTTTTTTACAGCCCTCATTAATGCAATGCAAGAATTGAGATCTTTGACTGTCCATTTATCAATTCTCATGGTCATTAAAAGCATACTATTAGATGTGTGTGTGTGTCCACTCATTGTATCAGGCCAAACAGTGACCTACAGATTTTCATTTTTTGTTTGCCTTATTGACATTTACCACTTTATCTGTTTTTAATAGACATTATCCCTAATTGAGAATCTGCAACACTTGACCCCTTGAATTTGTGACACTACAACTATTGAGGTCATACATTAATCTTTTGTTTTTCTCTTGTGACTTAAAATTTTTAAGGGAACGTCTGCAATGTCAAGCAATGGTAGACAAATAGCAATGAAGTGTATGTTTAATGATTTGATATGTTCTCTCAACACAAGGATACTGTGCTTTTCTTTTTCTTTCCATTGCCTTCAGTGTGGCAGAACTGATCCTTGGTTGTGATGAGGATACACTTGATCTGGTAGTAGCACCCTGTAATTCAAAGATATAATCTAATAAACAGGAACATCAAATTTATTTCTTCTTTGCATCATTATTTATCAACAAATTTAGGACTATTCCATTAAAATGTATGTGGGAGGGTAGGAAGGGACTTTCAAAATATCCCTACAACCAAGAACCATTTTTAGATATTTTGCATAATGGTAATAGACGCATACTGAAAAAAGACCAATGACTCACATTCAATAATTAAACTTCCCTTCCTACCCTGCCACATACATTTTAATGCAATAGCCCTTATGATCCATAGAAACATATTCACATTATCTTTCTGAGAAGATTTTTGATGTTTTGTTCAATTGCTTTCTCTTTAAATATAAATATTTGTTTGGTCGAATTTAAGTATGCATTTCCCAGTTATTTATTCAAATAACATTATCTTGTTATTGTCTAATTTTTTAAAATAATTTTGTCAACATTCAGTTTATATAATAATAAATTTCTTTACTGTAAAACATTGAAAAAAGATAAAAATACACATAAATATCTTACACTTTCTCTGAGACGTCTCTCTCCCCTCAGCTGTCTATCATGATCTATTATCTGCATCCTCTCCCAAACTGGTATGTCAAAAAATATCTCATGTACATCTAACAAAGCTGCCTGCAGCTGAAACAAAAATTATTTGAAAATACTATCAATGATTTATTAGAAAAAGTCTTATTCAAGACAAAAAAGCACTCTTGATGCAGAAAAGTTGTATATTTAGAGAAAATCTGTTAACAAATATTTGATATACAGTAAACCCGTTAAGGACTGAAAATTGTTTTGTTTAGATATGTTTTCAGTTTTTACCAATAATGACATTGGATCCATTCTCATTGACAAGGTTCAGCGCCTATTTTCCTTGGTTGTGGCATCTTATCACCAAATTTAAACTTGCCATTAGAAACATGACAGCTGCCACTGGGAGAGCAGGATCTACTTTTTTTCTAGAGCATCTGAGACCAATTCAGGTTTTTGGTTGGGTTCAGTCTTTAGTTTCCTGTGGTGTTTTGTAGACTATTGCTAGTATTTTTGTCTATGATAATGTCTTGTTATTCTTGACAAGTTTTTTTTATTATCCCCTTGGTATCTTTTACTTTTTTAAACACAAGTTTCACTGTATTTCAACCACTGTGACAAGGCATTGTATGCAACTGCTGAAGAATAAAGCTGACTTTCAGCATCTGTGAAAACTGGAGACACATTTTACTTTGTTATTTTGACAGGGGCTTATGTTTACCTGTGCAATAATTCTGTCCAGCAGATCTCTATCTTGATTGTTGACTTGACCTTTCTTAATGGGAGTTTCAGCTTGAAAGCTTCTTGCAAAACATTTGGTATCCTACAAGAAACAAAATACATAAACTGTAAATTCAGAAATTGTTTGCAACCACTGGAAAATTATAAATCTAGACATCTTATCATGATTATTATTCAATTGCAAGATAAAAACAATTTATGCACAATACAGTCAAACCTCATTGTGTCAAACTCGGTTGTGTCGAGAACTTAGATGAGTCACAGTAACTACTTGGTCCCCATAAAATTTGCATTCGATCAATGCATATTTACCTCTGATGAGTCGAACTCGGTTCATGATTCGAATAATCGATTAAGCCGAGTAAATTTTATGGTCCTGTCGATGTAAAATTAATGTAAATTGACACCGTTGTCTCGAAGTTCAAAAGATGCTGACTTAATGATAAAAATTCAAAGCGGAAGTATTTCTTATGTTACCTAATCATTTCCAAAAGAGATTAAAGCTGTACAAACATACAATGCTCCGTGTTGAAGGCTGTACCTTGACCTATAATGGTTTACTTTTATAAATTGTTACTTGGATGGAGAGTTGTCTCATTGGCACTCATACCACATCTTCCCATATCTATTGTTTGTATAACAGTTAAAATGACATGTTTATGGTGACTGGTAATTAACACCTTTGTTGATGGCCCAAGCGGAACTTTAAGTGTGTTGTACATATTTCACCTGACATAAAAACGAAACGAATTTAAATGACCTAAGCCAAGATTAAATGAATCGTTAGAATTAAATTCATTAACTACAATAAATAAAAGGATAAAGACACTCATGATTAATTTATAATAACTGAATGCAAAGCAGACAACCGTCATCAGAAATTTTTCAGAACTTGTTTCGTTCCGCGAGTGATTTCATAATCTATAGTGACTGACCTTTGTAAATATTGTGTTTATGTATCTGTACTTGTTGTTTAATTATTATGAGGGACCAAATAATATTGAGTTTGAATAAAGTGTCATAAGGCACACTGTTTAAAATATCTCGTTTACACAAATCTCATACCGTAGAGCATTCAAAATTTGTGACAACAAACTCGACCTTGGATGAGTCAAACCTTGGATAAGTGGAATATTTTTGTCTGGTCCCTTTGACTTTGACATAACAAGGTTCGACTGTATCAGAAAATATAACATTGTTCTTTCTACACAACAGGGGAAAAGCTTGCACGCCACTTTTTCTTTCTGTTTCTAAAGGTAATACAAATAGATTTTTTTATTTTCTGACATATGTATACATATCAGTATAATTAGTATTAACTAGTAACACAAAAATGACAAACTGCATTTTTACAAGTTTGTGCAACGTAGGAGACTTTATCAGTGCCACTTACGCTAATGGTCTTGACAACTTCCTGAACTTTCTCTGTGACTAGCAGACGACGAGTTAAGTATCCTTTGACACAAGCTGACACTCTGTCAAAACAGTGCTGTAATCTGGGATCAAATGCCTGAAAATATAATTACCTGAATGAAGTGACGAACATTAAAATAAAGAGCAGACTTGCAATGAACTAATTAGATTTTAGGAAATGAATGCTTCCAGTTATATGCAGTGTTAAAAGTTTTTTTTTTAGATGTTATAAGTACAATATAATCTTCTATATTGCAGTTTTATTAAAAACAAAAGTATCTAGAGAAATATCACATTTCTTTATCAAACATGCTGCTTACAGTAAATAAAGTTGTAACAAAAATTAGTTCATTTTCACATTTAAAAATAAATGGAAAATGTGTCCATGGGACACAGATGATGCCCCTGCTTGCATATAACATTATAAAGGGGCATAACTTGGGATTGGTAAAAGTCACGCCACCCAAATTTGTGTTTTGTGGTAATAAGCATTGTGTATAAGTTTCATAACATTTGGTTGAGACATACTAAAGTTAGAGAACAGAAGCCAATTTTAGGACATACGCACAAGGGTAACACTTAATGCACCCTCCTGTGACGGCTGGGGAATAAAAATTCTTTACTTTTTCAAAATATAATTCATTTTGATATTCCATGGCCATTCCAAGCATGTATTTTTCTCTACACTTCAATAACGATTTCAAAATTATGGAACTACAGCAAAACAACAAGAACTTACGGACTCTGGGTATACCATCGTAGAACTTGTCCAGGCATGCTGAACCTCCTTTACAGGAGAGTGCAATACTGGTTTATAGGTTTTAGGTGATGGCGTCGAGTGGTTAAACTTTAAAGACTGTTTAGGCGTCCCTCTGCTGAACGTGCTGATATCTGATTCATTATCTCGATCCCTTGGATTAAAATACAAACTTGGACTAGATATATAAGAGAATGGTTTCTGTTGTGTAGGATAGTTGGCAGGCATTTGCTGAAAAATAAAATATATTGTTTATTATTTCATAATATACAAGTCACTAATCTCACACATATATCAATTCCACATTTTGTTATGCCTCAACTCTATCCATTACAGTTTTGTTATTTTCAAATTTGAAAATTTCTCTTCCTTGTATGCTCAAGTTGCTTATCTGCTGTGCATAGTCAAGTTTAGGGCTGAAACAATGTATAAACTATATAATGATGGAGTTAAATTTCAATATAAACATGATAAAGGCTATATATTAGTAATAGTTTAATCTTATTAATTCAATACATTTTAAAATTCTAAAATATAAAAGCATGAACTAGTGTTTCATTTTTTTCTCATAGGAATCAATATTTGGGGATGTATCTATAGGAAAACTTTTGTCTTTGATACTTTATTTCTTAGTTTTGAAAAATGCTTTATGAAAGGTGTCAGACCACCAATTAAATATCCCTATCTGTTCAACCAAATTTTGCAATTTTCACAGCTTTCTAAATAATTTACCTTAAGTTTAACTTCATAGACAAGTAAATTTCGGCTCAAAAATATATTTCTCTTTCACCAAAAGTATCATTTCTGCAAATTTGTTGGTGAGTTTAAGTAAACAAGGACAGCAAAAGCACTATTTTGTGTCAGAGTAGGGCTACTTTTACATACGTTCTAAATTGGAGGGAGTAATTGGTGGTCTGACACCTAAAACCCTATAGGAAATTTGTACTTTGTTGCATCATGCTTAAAGTCTTGGTTAACCTATACCCACATAGTACAATGTACCCCTGAAATATAATGAATTCATAGTATGTAGATAAAGTGTGCCTATCTACTTATTATATAATGGTCAAATAATATTGTTAACAACCAGACTATACTAGGATGTAGTATTTAAAATTAGAACAAATAGTAGAACAATGCTGACATTTTGTCAAAACTGACCCCAAAAAAATATTTTGAAACCGAAATTTGAATGACTGATTTGAATAAAATCAAGATTCAAAATAGTTTTTTATTTAAAAATAGGATTGATTGAATATTCCCTTAGCAAAATGAAAAATTCCACCCAAATTAATTTTACATACATCACTTAAAGCTACATTATTCATACTGTAAATTCAGAAATTATTGCGTGCATTTATTATTGCGATTTTGTCATTTTAGACTAAAATGCGATTTAAAGTTTTGCGATATTGAGAAAAATCCTGTTAAATTCATATAAAAAATTTCAAAGTGCGAGTTTAAATTATTGCGATTATAACCCTGTCGCATTTTTCGCAATAATAAAAACATCGCAATAATTTCTGAATTTACAGTACCTATTTGTTGGTATATACATTTGTACATCATTACATGTATAACTTACCTGAGAATAAACAGGTTGACTAACGTTCCCTGGAATTTCAGACAACACAGACTCATTTGGAAGGTATCTGTTTCCAGAAGTTGTAGGAACATAGCCATTGGCTGAACTTTGCGGAAAGTAATTGTTTGTAGTATTCGTAGGAACGTAACTATTGGGAACAAACTTGTTGACAGCACTTCCTTTGGCATATGGCTGTTGTGAGCTGGCAGACGCAAAGCTGTTACCAGCATTCATTGGAAATTGATTGTTCACTGAAATATTCGGGTTTGAAGGATTAGTCTGTGGAAGGTTCATAAAGTTTTGAGAAGAATCATTGTAGCTAGTCACAGAGGTATTTTGAAGATTGTTAGAAGAAAATTGACTAAGGTTGTTTTGTTCAGAAAATGATGTGAATAATTCTTGTTGTTCACGTAAATGATCGTGGTGCATTTCAATTTCTTCCTGTAGATTCATTTGTTCACGTCTTTGTGTTACAAAAAGTTCTTCCAGCTGTTGTTTCTGTTGCTCAATAAGATGTTGACGAATTTTATTAAAATGATCTGCTTGAATTTTCAACATTTCTTCCTCGGTTAAGGTTTCAAATGATTGAAGAGTTTCTGTAAACGATTGTACAGCTTCCCCAATGTCATACTGTCGTCTGCTCATATTGCCGCTCTGAATGGGTTGTTGATTATTTTCTAGCACATCTTCAACTGGGTGCGGTTGCACTTGAGACAAATATCTCTGAATATGTTCAGCTTTAGCATTTTGTTCTGATGATTCAGATGTTGGAACACTCATATCATTTTGAGAAATTGATACTGGTTCAATACTTTCTGGCCCTATATTCATTTTTGTAATATTTCCATTGGTACTAGAATATTGAGGACTTTGTTGATTCAATTTAGCTTTTAATAATGCATCTGAGGGATGATCAAGAGTATATGATCCATGCCTTACATGTCGGTCTAAACTTTTTGGAACAACATTTGGAGAGATTTGACTTCCTGTCTGAGGAATGTTTTTATTGTCAGAAGAAGTTCCATGAGTCAAATGTTTTGATTGGTTAATATCTCCCATCACATGACCAGAGCTTCCTGTTACAGATGAGGAAACTTTCATAACTTTTTCAAAATCAGTCCTATTGGCATCTGAATAAATATCGTTTTTGAAATAATTCCTCTGAACTCCTGACAAAACATTTTCCTGACTTTCTTTCAAAGTACTTCCCTGTGATCTATCATCTGAGTCATAAGAACGTTTTCCTGTTAGCATAAATACATTCCCATAAGTCTGATCACAACTTTTATTCAGTTCCCGTTCAAGTAAGCTCAGTTTATCATCCATTTCAGCCGGAATTTGTTTTTGATAAATGTTTTCATTTTCCTTGTCTGAGGTGTTATGGTCAATCTCAGCAGTGTAAACATGGAATGGCACTTCCTGGTCTTTAAAAAAAGTTTTTGGAGTGCCACCTGGTGATTCTTCTGGACTCAATGCAACTTTGCTTAACATTGATCCTGGCTGTCCATGAAATAAATTATTTCTATATGACTGTGTTGTTGATGTAGTGACCTGAGGTACTGCTGACGACCCCAGGTCGTTTACGTTTTTTGGCACGGGCTTTCCATTTTGACCCTGATTTAATACTTCTGATGAATTTGCTGACCCCGTATGTCCTGTCAAATCAACACTATTTGACGGAGTAATATCCATTTTCCTCACAGAAATTTTATCCTCAACAGATTGACTAGCACTAGTACTTATTTCTGTAACGAATGAAGAAAAATGAACAGTATTTTTCAGTCCTTTTGGACTCATACGTCTGCTTTGATTTGTTCCCACTGAACCAACAGAGCTTATCACTGAAGAATTCACACCAGACTGGTTAAAACTAGAAACACTAGCCTCTATTCCATCTTTCCCAGAATTCCCTGAATTATCTGACAATGTAGGTGAATGGAAATATTTTTGTTTCTTTTCCTCTTCCTTATTTTTACTAGGACTTTTTGAATAGACAGACTGTTTCGTATTATTTTCTGTAGATGAACTACTTGATGTGGAATTCAGAGTTCCACCTGTGTCCTGCAAATTGAGATGTTTAGAAAGATTGGCAAGAACTTGACCTATCTGCTGCTGTTTAACAGAGGTCAAAGGCAAACCACTGAATTCTTGAGGTAAAGAATTACAATCATCCAAAGACGGATAGTCGTTCAGTGACTGAAGTTCTTCAACTTTTGGTTCCACTGGTAACTGCCTCCTTTTTGATGTTTCTTTAGTCTGAGGTTTGTTTTCAGAAGGTGAAGTTTTCTTCTCAGTATTTGTAGCAGTTGATTTCTGCTGCTTTTTCATTTTTGCAGCAAGAAATTCCTGTCTAAATTTTTCCGGATCAACTTCTGGCGAGTACTTTGTTGACGATAATTCAGGATTGCTTCCTGCTATTTGATGCTGCTTTTTGAGTTTATGGATTTTGGGAGATTGTAAAATTGGATCTTCAGGTGACAAAACAAAGCCCTGACTTTCAGCTATTTCATTATGACTTAAATCTGGGTCTGAAGCACTATGTTGATTGGCCTGTTGCCAAGCAGACTTTTTCAGTCTGCGAGTGTTTCGGGAAATTCCACTTTCAGATTTACATGATAAAGAATTATCATCATCAAAGTCTCGTAGATCAGGATTAGAAAATGAAATTCTACCGGTCATTAGCATATTTGAACGTCTAGCTTGCAATTCTGTCATTTTTGTAGAAGGTGGTTTCGGAACAGGATATGATGGGGTGCCTGGGATTTTTGCAGGATTTGGCAGTGATGACATTGAACTTGATTTTTTCAAATTTGATAATGCTTTCCCCTGAGACTTAGACGATGCTTTTGGTTTTGCTTTCTGAGGTGTGCTTTTTGTAGTATGAACAGGAGCTGGAATTTTAGTTCGTTGTTCTTTGACCATTTTTTCAGATTTGTTCACAGACTTTTGTTCTTTATTTTGTTCCTTATTTTTTGCAATCCCTGGTTTTGATTTTTCAACAGTCACTGTTTTTTCATCGTTAATATGTGTCATACTTTTACTTCTTTTATTTGAAGAAAGACTGTTTGTTTTAGAGATCCCAGCAGGGGATTTAGATGAATTTACACTTTCAGGTGACCACTTGGAAGAAACATCAGTTCCGCTTGAGACAGGAGACGAATCCACAGAATCAGAGAGTCTACTATTTTGCTTTTCCTGCAATAAAGATATATATTCCATATTTCAAATTATTATAATATTAATTATCAAAATTGAGAATTAAACTATCAGTTCGACAGACAAATTATCCTATTTGTACTAAGTTTCTGGCCATGAAAAGTTCAGAACAGATTGCCAAAGAATTTGATCCAATGAAACAAAAATACAGGGGTTAAACAAAATTGCAAAAACAATTAAAATAATTGTTATTGGATGTATATTATATCAATTAAATCAAGACAAACCATGAAAAGATATATAGGTTTTACACCAAATGTGTCAAAAAAGCAAACATATTAACAAAAAGCAAAAGTGTAGTTGCTACCTCAGAAACGAAAACATGCAAACCCAAGTTATAATTATGTGATAGTTGTGATGTCTGAAAAAGGAAGTGATCAACTAGAGTGAATTTTACCCACAATGCTATAACAGGACGCTACATACAAATACACATTGGCATATAGAGATCTAACAAAGAAATATGTCATTTCTTTTAAAAAATTTATTCAGCTTAAAGAATAAAAACAGTAAAATATTTCAATGCTTTGTCTACACTATAAACAACACAGCTAACATTACATATCCCTTCCTGTTACACAAATTTTACCCAAAAAAAATCAGATTTCAAATCTTTGACTTCCTTAAATCAGAATTTGAATAAATGTAAATGCAACTAGAAAAAGTTTGGAATTAGAATTGAAATTTGTTCACTTAGTAAATAATACCTCAGGGGAAAAAAGCAGGGGATACATTATATTTGATATATATGATAAACAAATAAGAAAATATAATAGAAAATTACATCTAAAGACACAGATAAACACAGACATCAGTGTATTGAAAATGACGATGAAATGTGAGGTTCTTTGACTCTTGATTTGTGTAATTACTATCATTAAATATATACAAATATCACTGGTAAATGTTTGAAATTCACATATTATACAATGATAATTTTTACTTTCTCAGTATGCTGAAAAAGTAATATTTTCTAATGAAGTTTTATATTCTGAGCATGCACATGCTTAATTACTCTAGATGTATGATTTCTTTTTAAAATTAAACTTTGTCGGAATGATGATTTTATTATAGTTACGAGTCAAAATAAAAACGAAAAAAATCTAGTGTATGATCATGTTTGATGTGTGAATAATGTGTGGTATACATGGTGTCCTACTTCCAGACAGCAGTGAAGGTCAAACTCTAACATTCAAGGTCAAGGATGCCAATATTTTATGGGATGAGTGTTATTCGGTTCTTGATTCATTTCTCCTTCTTGAAATCTTATATCATTTCATCAAAAGAAAGAAATTAATGTAAGACGTCCACAAAAACAGTAAATTATGGGTCTAGGAAAACCACACATCCAATGTTTATTAATAAAGGCTGCATAAGTCGTGCTTACTGAATCTATTCATAATCATACTGATCCCCATGTATTTTTAAAGCAAACAGCATATTTTCATATCATTCTAGACCTTTAAAAAAATGTTTGTTTCTCAAGCCTTTAGCTCATTGCTGAAACTGTTTTTAAATGCAGTTTTTAAGAACATTTTTTTAAACAGAATTAATTTCAATTTGTGTCATTTATGTCAAGTAGTTGGAGTTATTTCCCTTGAGAGAAAAAATGTCTGACAACATGATTTTGAAAGAACAAGTCCATACTAATGAGCTTCAAACTAACTGGACAATTTCTAAGGATCAAGTAGGGTACCTCCCTTAATTCACAAGGTCACATTTAAAAATTAATTTCCCTAAAAAAAAATTCCAAAAGATCCAAACTTTCCACTCATTCATTGATGAAGATTTCTCCCAAAAAAAATTAATTAATTAATTAAATTTTTCAGAATTTGTAGACTGGCATCCTTGCAATATCTGATTATATTTCACGCATGATTTCCTATTAAAGCAAAGAGAAAAGCAGAGTGTAGCTTTTTGTCACGTACTATAAGCTGAGAGATCCTGGCTGTTCGAGGAAGCCGTGAACGACGCTTTAAAGCAAACTCTTTCTGCAAACAACATGCATCATTGCATTTTATTCTCAATTATATACTAACATTTTTCAACAAACAATTGACTCATCAAAATGCTTTTCATTCATATGTTACTAGTTTAATCACTCAAAATTATAAGGGATAAAATTTAGCCGAATACCATCAAATTTCTGTGTTTTCCAACCCACGATTGAATCATTAAATTAATTCACAATAGAAATTTTCAATTGGTAGTCTTTAAAAATGTTAACTTGATTAAATAATTGGCTCATAAGTTACATCTCGAAAGGTAATCGTTATTGAGCAATTTTAAATAAACATTTAATAATATGCATTCAGTAAACAAGTTACATTCAATATATGGTTACTGTATGTCTAGTGACAAACATTCCATGCATATAAAGTTAAAATATATGTTTAATATAGATAATAAGCATTGTACTAGACTGAGAGAAGGGACTTTTAACATGCTTTCTACAAGGTAATAAACAGTCTGTAGAAAGACATGTTAAATAACTTAGACACATTGTTTTGACTACAAGCGACAAGTCTTTGCTCTTACTCCTAAATGCTTTGTGTTTTGCAGAGAAGCAGCAAGTTATAATTTTAAAGACTCTGGAATTTATGCCATGACCCTCCTGCACTTGAGCTTGTTTATCAAGTGCTTAATTCAATGATACATGTGGGCCGCAAGAGGTGCTAAAGTTACAAGCTTAATTCATTTTTGAAACCACTGAAGTATTTTTAAATTTGATTTTTTCATTTTAACAACTTAATTCTCCATTGAATCTCTTGCATGTTTGTCAATGAAATACAAAAGTTTTGGGGCTTAAAATGAAGACGACTTCATTTGACATTCTAATTGCACTTAAAATAAAATTACCTTAGATAATTAATATGATCAGAAATATTTTTAGCACAAAAAATACCTTTTCAACACAAAATATCTGAGATAATATAATCATGTTTTTTTTATCATTATGTCTGAAAAACATTTAAGCATGTCTGAAAACATTTATGCAAGATATATTCATATTTTAATAAGTACAATTTACCTATTTTCTATGCATTATTTATATCAAATCTAATAAGTATATAGTTCACAAAAAATTTAGAATAAACAGCATTATGATAATGTAATGGGTATCTTTTAAGTTAACCCTGGCTTATCTTTTTCTGTCTTCCAATGACACATGCTTTTTTTCATCAAACATAAGAGCTTTTAAAAACTTCAAACAGAAATATTAATAGAGACCAAATAATAAGTAAGAACTTATACAAACAGGATTTTTTTTTAAATAAGAAATATCCAAAAATGATGGTAAGCATTATTCTAAATCAAAAATGTGTTTTGTTTGTAGTTATCATGTTTCTAGCATCTAATAAACAAAACATAAATCCTAAGTTACCTCAACTTCAGACACTATAGACTGTACTCTTGCAACAAGCTTCTCTCTTTGCTTTGACTTTCTTCTGTTTTCTAGTCTCATGGCTTGTCGTCTGTATGTTAACATTTCTTCTCTCCTTTTAGCAGTCATCTACAATAGGTTAAATTAACAGGTTAATTTTAAATCAGAAGTGCATTTTTCATTACTTTTCATGTATTGTCCAAAACACTTAAATTAAGAGAAATATTATAAATAGAGTATATAATGAAATTATCCCAAAAATTATACTTAGATACTGGTAACTGCATATCATTATGCTTAAAATTGAATATTTTATCATAATCATTCGAGAAAAAAGTTTAATTAACTTTTAGTTTCAAATGTATCTTGGAGTAAAGTGTGGTTGAGTGTCGAGTTCCTGTCTAACTGAAGTTTACCCAACATTTTTTCATGGGTGTGTAAATGTTGATTGAGTTTTTTTCAACCAGATTTTCAGACAATAATGGTGGTATTTGTTAGGTATTTTTTTTCTTTAATTTGTTGGTTTTACCCTTAGTGTACTTCAACTGTACAGATGTAGCATTAGCAAAATCTGGCAAATAATTCTGCTCCTACAGTGCCATGGGTCATTTTAACTTACAGTGAGATGTGAGCTTTTGCTTCCTGCTGAAAGCCTCATAGTGATTTCAAAATGTGTAATGATGTACTTGTCTTTGCTGTCTAGAAGTTTATTTAACACTTCCTTTCAATCATAAGATGGAATTTTGGTTAGCAACTCTTACTTTTGGGATAACTATATATATTTTGTTCACATATGCATGCATACTGTGGATTCATTATTATTCGTTAGATACTAATTTCCGTGGATTTCATGGGTACAGGTAAACTACGGAATTAAATGTTCAACGAATTACAAATTTTCTATAAGGCTTTATGCAGACTTTGGCAAAACCACAAAGTCAGATATCCACAAAAATGCAAGTTTTCCACAATCCACGAAAATTGGTTCCCACGAAAATAAATGAATCCACAGTATTTTATTCTTGTGATGTTCGAATTTTTATCTCGGAATATGATATTTCTTTTCATTGGTGTAAATAATATTATAATGATTACCACAGGAGGTAATATTGGTACTCCATTGAACTTGATGACAGAGGTAAAATTAGTTGGTATTGGGCTGGACCAGGATGCTGACATCTCATCCAGATTCCGACTCTGCGCCTCAAAATACTCTAATAAATCTCCCATGATGTGATGTAAGGGATTCTGAAAAAAAATCACAATAAATGAACATATTGTCACAGCATAATTCATTCCTCTATCAACCATGGTTATAAAAAGATGTCATAAGTATCACAACAAGATGTCCTGCTTGAAATATTTGCCACTGGAAGTCAAGCAAACAACAATCAATCAACCATTTATCTTCAGACCATTACAATAACTTTTTTTCTAAGACTGAGAGCAGGTATAACTTGGGTAAAGTTAGTTGAATGAAGCTTTTTTAAGTTCATTTATTCAACATGAAATTTGTTTTCCCAATATAGGTTTTGTTACAATCTACACATAAACTATAATCTGCCAAAAAAAAGGACAGAAAAGATAGTTTCTATGGTACAAATATTTTCTGAATTTCCATCCAGTTAAAAAAAACTGTTTCAGACAAATTTGAAATAACCATTTTCTAAGCCATCCATAAGATCACAGGTCAAAATTGCATACCTGAGGTCTACCTTAAAAGTGTATCTAGATCTTGACATTGTTTGAATAACAGCTTTAAAATGAAGTATATTCAACTTTTGTAGTTAAATAAAATGTTAATATACCACTTACTAGTTCATCATTTAAAGTACTTTACGTAATCGGTTCTTTTGAATATCTGACAAATCAGAAGAATTATGATGGGCCGGTAAATCCCTTCAAATATCAAGATCCTGGACCTTTGATCCCGATATCATATATTGTCAAAAGGCCCTTAGTACTATATCATGAAATCAGTTCTTTTGAATATCTGACAAATCATTCAAAAAGAATTTTAATGGGCCTCGATAAAGCCCTTCAAAAATCAAGGTCCTGGATCTTTGATCCTGATATCGTATATTGTCGAAAGACCCAGGCTTTCGTCATTTTGAAAATATATTTTTTGGCATGTTTTAACTATTAACTACAGAAACTGATGCTGAAAAAATAAGTCCATTAAAGATCAATAAAAATTAAAAACAAGCAATTAAAGTAAGTTTTTTGTGAAAATACTTAATTTTTCTCTATTATAAAAGAAATTAAGATATTGAGATACAATAAACTTACTTACAGACTAACAAATAATTCATCAATATTCTTGAACTTGTTGATAGATTTCTGAACAATTATGATTTACAGGAGCACATGTACCCAAATTTAATCTATTTCCTATACTGAATTCAATCAGTAGATGTTTCACACTATATATGTACATGTACTATATGAATCAAACACATAAATACAGATTTGTAATCATGATCCCAGTTTGATTCTCTAACAACATAAAAAACATAATCCGACCCTATTTAAATGTGTCACAGTTTATTAAACGACATCAAAACATGTTCACAATATATATATACATACATATATATAGTCATATTATTTGTTGATACCCGACGCATATACCAACCAATGGAGTTGCTGGATGGAAGCCAAATGATATTTAATTCAGATCCTAACAGGATTATGAAATATTGATAACACATAAAGAATTCTTTCTTTTTTTAATGGGAATTTTTTTTTATTCAATTTGTGACAGCTGGTCTGTGAAACTACTAATGTATTGTGGTAAATTACAAAAACAAAGATAAAAATAAAATTCATTATTTTCAGTGATGGATTAAAAATCATCATTAGTTGCCTAATTGAATCTGTATTTTTTTGTATGAGTATGTATCTTAAGCAAAGAAAAGGTTGCATTGAAACTAAATGTAAGTCAATTAAATATTGGTGTGAAGATATTAATGCCATACTAGGAGAAAGTCAACATTCAAATTTACTGTCCTAATTTTAAAGGATTTCCTGGCCGAGTTTTGGTGAATCGCAAATTGAAGCCTTCAAAGAGATACAAAGTACCAATAAGATTGAATGCATCTGATGAAAACTTTTATAAAAGATTTCCAAATGACAAAAAATACATACACAACAAAAAGGTAACAGATATATGTAATGGATCTGAAACTATCACAAAACTACAGACAAAGATTTTGGTTAGAAGCTGTACAAAATTTAATGTGATGAGGCCTACAGTAACATAAGAAGAAACGAATAGATATATAGACTTGAATTAAAACAGGTATACATTTTGGCAGGCAGGCAGTCATGATAATGGTTTGATGTTAAAGGCTTGTAATTTGCCTTGGCTCTTCCTATAATACTACAAGACCAGCCTCTAACAGGTCTAAAGGTATAATGGTTATCAGTTAGCGGCTAGAATTTGCTGCTTCTGATATATTTACATTTTGGTAGGATTTCAAATTTTTAAGTTACAATAGTTAGATCTTTGTAAAATTACTTCATAAAAGTTAGTGTCAAAACAATTTAATCGGGAACAATTTGTAATGTGCATGTTATGATGTATGATCATCAAAAGGAATATCGTAGAGAATAGGGTGTAAACTTTTAGACCATTGATTATCATATAATTTGCCCATGATGAATGGCCAGTGTGATTTAATTAACCTTCTACAGGAGATGATATGAAATTTTGATGAGAAGTTCGTCTGACATTTATAGAGCTGATCTAACGATAATCCTCAGTGGTACACAAACACTACTTGTCTGTCTCTCTTTATGCTGTTTTAATTTCTGATGTACTACTCTCCATTATTGACCTTTTTCCTTAGTATTAAGTATATTTACTTTTTCTAATCAGATAAAAAATATGACAGACCAAACTATTAAAACAAATAATACTATTTCCCATACATGTCTATATCTTTCATTTCCCTGTATCATTTTATGATATCAATACTCACAAAATACATTTATAAGGCAGTCTGAACATCATTTGAAATCAAATTGAGGAAATTTTTAACCATTTTCAATTCTGTACATGATGTACATGTTTACATAATCATGCTTTTTAAGCGAAGTTGTTTTAAAATATAAGCTGTGAGTCACAAAATAAAGCCTTATTCAGCAAGTATATATGCAGCAAATTAGCTAAAACAAGCGATATATATTTTACTATACAGTAATCTGCATGTACATGATAAATTACATTTTTTTTGTACATGTATAAGCTGAAAAACTTTTTTTAATCAATTTTAGTGATTTTCATGATCCCAAAGCCGTGACACACATTTCTCCAGAGAACTAACTAGACTTATACCCTTCTCCCACCTCCCACTTTTAGAATCTTTTTCTCTCCCACCTCCCACTTTTAGAATCTTTTTTTCTCTCCCACCTCCCCCCCCCCTCAAAAGCTGTCCACCCCCTCTTATACAAACAGAAAAAATGAATTGAAAATAGCCAGTGGCTGACATCTTTATTTGTTACCATTTTATTAGCCTGAAACTTTACAGTTATCTCCATTTAAGTTTAGCAGCAGACTATGGCATAAAAAATAGTTTCTTATTGATTCAGATACTATACCTTGCAATATTTCTTTCTTTCTACAATCCTTTTACACTTAACTTCTGACTACATCAATTAACCACCATAGATAAACTAGAGGATCACAGAAGCCTGCAGGGATTAACATCCTGCGACTCTTTAATTTTATCAACAACAAAACAAGAATTATTGGAGAACAATAGCAGACTTTGGTTTCCTAATGTCCATTGGCAAATATTTCATGCATATTCAGGACAAAAACAAATTAACAATATTATGAGTAGGTTCTGCAAAGTGTCAACCGGGATGAAGTGTTGGAATCTGGATTGCCAATAGAAAATGAGGGTGTTTGATAGGGGGCAGAAATTTGCATGGCAACATTCGGACCCTTTAGAGTGTTGCAAGTGTTCTTTTAATATTCATGGAGAGCTTGGCACTTTCCCAGCAAGAGGCATCTGATTTGATGTCCCAATTTTGACCAGATTTCATCCTGCACAGCAAAACAGACACCCCACTTAAGCAAGGATTTTACTGCCGCACAAAGGAGGTCCAGGGACGACCATATTTCTATATACCCCGTTCAACCCTTGGGTGCATAAGTAATGAGAACATACATGTACGTCATGTATTAGATTATTACTGTACATGTATTTACATTGTTAAATATCAATCTACACAAAAAGCAGAATTATACATCTATCTGCATTCTCATAGCAAAAATATAATGAACTGATAGAAACCTATTAACACATCAGTTAAATATACTTTTATCAATCGCTCTTTCAATACAGTGACTTTTGGGGATAACAATGTGACTGGTGACAGATTTGAGAGATTTGAAAAGGATATCCATTAAGGGCTTAAATAAACTATTGACACAGAGATATGTCTCGTCTGTATACAAAACAAAACACAGACAAAAGAGTGAATTGTAACTTTAAAGTTATGCAAAATTGGCATTCAATGTCCTGGATATTGTTTGGAAATCTGGAAAGCTCAATAATTAAAAATGTAACAATTGTACAAAGAAAAATATTTATAAATAAAAAAAATCTGACAAATTCTCTCCAAGCCTTTAAGTAATTTTTTCCATAATATTTACACAGTTATTATTGATGAAATTTGAGGTAATACTCTCTTTTTAATGTTCTGTTCCAAACTTCTCAAGTATTTTTTTTTTTATGTTTATGCTACAAATCTTAAATTTCATGACTTTCCAAATCTTTGTTGTTTGTTTACATATTTCTTAAATATCAAATTTCAAATTATTTTAAAGCACAACTATGTTACCTTTTCTGGAAGAACCAATTCTACGGACAATCTTGGATCCATCATAAAAAGTTTAGCTCCGAAAAAATCTATTCCCATTACTATAGTGTGCCATTAACTACTATGAAAATAATATCTTTTCAACACCAATATCATAAAATCTTCTTTTATTTGTATAATCTTTTGTCCATTAAAATTACGGTATTCCCCTTATTATTTTGATATTTGTTGACAAGTTGTCAATTGATTAAATCAATGCACATGGTTTAATAAGTTGAAAAATAACAGGCATATTTCTTTTTTATATAGGGCCACTATTTTCACTGTTGCTACTCAGCTGTGAAATTTACGCATTGAAACTGACAACAATAGAAAAATTACCAAAACAAAAAATGATTAATATAAACGTAAATAAAGCTTCTTATGAAATTAGAGACCAAAAAGATATCAAAGGGCTTGGTTATATAGATATTAATCTTTAGTTATGAAAATCTGGTACAATTATTTGTTAATCATATTATCAGGTATAATACAAAACAAAGTTAATCTGTTTTTGTAAACTGATTTGATTTACATATATAACATTTATTCCAATATTAATATAATTTTTAACCGTTTAGAACAAATGAAGTCTTACATATAGGTGACCATCGGCCAAACATTTTACAGTTATATATTTAAGGCTACACATTAATCATAAAATACATGATAAATTCAGCTGAACAGCAAAGGACATCTTACATTTTTTGAAGCTAAAAGTAAAACTTTACTTCAATATCAAAATAAGAGTTCAAATGACGAGGATATAAGCAATTATTGTCACCATACTGCCTTCAACAATGAGAACAAGACCAATACCAGGTCTGGACCTGGGTCAATGCATGTAATTGATCGAGATAATATTTATACTGGAGCATAACAGATCCATTTCCTTTCACAACAACCAAGAAAACATTCACAAAAATTTTCCTTGTACATTGAGTGTTGTAATTTAAACTTTCGAACTATTGGCCAACGGGAAGTGGCTACACGGCATATGTAAAAATTAATTACTCACAACAACACAACGTTATCAAGCTGCAGACCAAATATTAAATCATTGCCTTCAATAGGAAAGAGAAAAATTTCCTTGTACAATGAATGTTGTAAAATTTCAAACTATTGGCAAACAGGAAGTGAATACATCACAGATTTAATAAAATGCTCCGCAGGGCGCAGCTTGATACGACCGCAGAGGTCGAACCCTGAACAGTTGGGGCAAGTATGGACACAACATTCAAGCTTGATACAGCTTTGCATTTGGATTGTGATTAAATATTTGACACAGCATAGGTTTCTGACACAGAATGAATGTGGTCTAAGAACTTAAAAATTTTAAATTGGACATTCACCTATTATGGTCCAATATCCAAAATCTAAATACATGGTTAGATTCAGCATATCAAAGAACCCCAAGAATTCAATTTTTGATGAAATCAAACAAAGTTTAATTTTGGACCCTTTAGACCTCAATGTGGACAAAGTTGAAAACGCGGCCCAAAAATCAAAAATCTAAATACATGGTTAGATTCAGCATATCAAAGAACCCCATATATTCAATTTTTGTTGAAATCAAACAAAGTTTAATTTTGGACCCCGATTTGGACCAACTTGAAAACTGGGCCCATAATCAAAAATCTAAATACATGTTTAGATTCAGCATATCAAAGAACCCTAAGAATTCAATTTTTGTTAAAATCAAACTAAGTTTAATTTTGGACCCTTTGGACCTTAATGTAGACCAATTTGAAAACGGAACCAAAAATTAAGAATCTAAATACATGGTTAGATTCGGCATATCAAAGAACCCCAATAATTCAATTTTTGATGAAATCAAACAAAGTTTAATTTTGGACCCTATGGACCTCAATTTGGACCAATTAAAAAAACGGGGCCCAAAATCCAAAATCTAAATACACGGTTAGATTCAGCATATTAAAGAAACCCAAGAATTCAAGAATAAAACCCCATTGAAATTGGTCAAGAAATAAGCAATTTATACGAAGTATCTTCTTTTGCACAATACTGTGCAATTAAATATTTCTTGCTATTGCGCAATACTGTACAATTGACAATTTCTTGCTATTGCGCAATATTGTGCTATTGGATATTTCTTGCTATTGCGCAATACTGTGCAATTGAAGATTTCTTGCTATTGCGCAATACTGTGCAATTGAAGATTTCTTGCTATTGTGCAATACTGCGCAATTGAAAATTTCTTGCTATTGCACAATACTTATTATATAATAATTTACACATCCTGTTTGGTGTGTATCTCCTACCATATCATTATTATTTGCTTTTAAATATAAATCAGAAATAACCAACTTAAAATGGAAAATTTTAAAAGAAAAAAAAAAATGAAAAAAAAAAAAATCCCCCCCCCACAAATATTTTGAACCCCCTTATGATTCATCACCCCCAAACTCAATCCCAGCCTTCCCTTTGTGGAATGGTACCTTGCAGTACAATTACAGAGAGATCCATACACTTGAACACAAGTTATTGTCTGGAAACTAGAAAAATGTGTTTTTTGGCCCCTTTTTGGCCCCAAATTCCTAAACGTTTAAGGCAATTACCCCCAAACTCAAACCCAGCTTTCCCTTTGTGATATGGAACCTTGTAGTACAATTTCAGAAAGATCCATACAATTACACACAAGTTATTGTCCTGAAACTAGAAAAATGCTTGTTTTTTGCCCCTTTTTGGCCCCTAATTCCTAAAATATTGAGGCAATTACCCCCATCATCAATCCCAGCCTTCCCTTTGTGGTATGGTACCTCGCAGTACAATTTCAGAGAGATCCATACACTTGAACACAAGTTATTGTCTGGAAACTAGAAAAATGCTTATTTTTGGCCCCTTTTTGGCCCCCAATTCCTAAATGTTTCGGCAATTACCCCCAAACTCAATTCCAGCTTTCCCTTTGTGATATGGAACCTTGTAGTACAATTTCAGAAAGATCCATACACTTACACACAAGTTATTGTTATGAAACTAGAAAAATGCTTGTTTTTTGCCCCTTTTTTGGCCCCTAATTCCTAAAATTTTGAGGCAATTACCCCCAAAATCAATCCCAGCATTCCTTTTGTGATATGGAACCTTGTGGTACAATGTCAGAGAGATCCATACACTAACACACAAGTTATGTCTGGAAGTTACAAAAATGCTTATTTTTGGCCCCTAATTCCTTTACTGTTGGTACCATAACCCCCAAAAACTATCCCAACCTTCCTTTTGTGGTATTGAACCTTGTGGTAAAATTTCATAGAGATCCATTCACTTAAACTAAAGTTAGAGTGCGAAAACCAATGTGTCTTCGGACGACGCCGGACGACGACGACGCCAACGTCATACCAATATACGACCACAAAAATTTTTTTGCGGTCGTATAAAAATTGCTTACTTACTACAACTCAACATTATAAAACTGCAGACCAAATATTAAGTTGTTCCGTATCATAGCAGGCAAGAAAATTTGACTAAAGACTTCTTTCAGACAGCAGGACGGACTTACTAAACCTTCTTCCGCCTTTAGCAACACAGGTAAAAACCCATACTGTATAGTCAGCTATAAAAGGCCCAGACATGAAAAAATGTGAAACATTCAAACAAGGATTCAAAAGTGATGGCCTAATCTATACCAATACAATCAACGAAAAAACAAATATGATGGACATCAACCAACAACAATCATTGAATAACAGGCACATAATGAGGCAGGGTTAATTATGATTGTAAGCGCTCAACCCCACCTTCAACGTACTGTAACGAAATGTGGGTCCCCTGAAATGGAACTTGTTTCCCCTAAAATTGTGTGATGACGTAGTTTAAATCTTACCGATAATTGACTTTTCTTATTATATATTTCTTGTATAAATATGTTTAAACATTGTTAACTCTAAAACTTTTTATTATTCTTGCCTATGTTTTTACATAGGAACACCTGTGCATTGTGTACTTAAAATGACGTACAATGAGGTCATTACCTATTTTGGTAATCACCAGTTCCGGTTTTGGTAATTTAGGTATTTTCCGAAATGGTAAATGGTAAACCAAAATGGTAAATGGTAAACCAAATCGGTAAATTGGTTTACCTAAGTATAAATACGGCGGAGAATACAGATAAGTCTTCAGCACGATTTTACCCTGGGCAAGTAACACACGTTATATTCCATGCTATTTTGATATACGTACAGATACCATGTACCAGACCAAGTAGTTAACCAGACAGCCAACACTATTACAATGTCCGAGGAGACGACGTCCGTATAATGTGGGTTTGTTAATTCCTTTCCAAGTTGCATTTAGAGAATAACTTCTCGAGAGAAACTTTATCTTTTGGCATTGAATTTGATTTACCATTTGCCGATTACCAAACTAAAATTAGTAAACTTTCAGGGTATATTTTTCCGCTATCCATTTTCTTTAATTCGCGATAGAAGGTTAATAAAGTATTTATCTGTTAGACTAGAATACTGTTAAGTTATTTAATATTTATATATATTGCGGTTGATATTTAATACATCTTAAAGTTAATACAAGTTGGTTTTTATTCAACGAGTCTGTTATTCTTACAAACATCGAGAGTTACCATACAAAAACCTATACTCCAATCTACCCTTTTATATCCGAGTCATTACCTTACCAGAGGAACCAGCCTTACCAGTATGTATTCAGAGTACCAGAGTACCACATAGTACCACGATACCAGAGTACCACGCTACCAAAGAAGGGTCACCAGTTATAACTTTTATTTCTTATATACTCGTACTCAACAAACACATTTTTATAGCAACGCACTAAGGGATAAACATTTATAGTTTAACACTAAGGCCCGACCGCTCGGTTTTCGTTACAGTACATACATTACATTTGCCTAATTAAAAAAGGTATAATTTTGGGTTGTAAATACTACTTCTAGGGGGGGGGTTTAATGACCTTGACTACCCATGAGGGTCTGGCACGGTCAGCTTTAGCTTACGCTTTTAAGGGGATTTCAATAATTTATTTTTTACCTTATGGTAATCATATAATTTGAAAGTAAAAAAAACATGAATATTGTAAAAAGTAAAATGAACAATTATTTGATGTAAATAAGGAATAAATACATTTGTAGTTGTAAATGGTCATTATAAGCACTTCATCAACATTTTATATGTTAAGGGTCCCGCTTACACATTTTTGTTTGAGGCACAGAAAAAAATTATTAATACTGATGCAAGCAAAGCAATTCAAGTTCTTGAGGTATCAATTTTTGAAATTTGACACAATAAATTATTCAGGATTTGAACTCTTATCAATAAATTGGTTTTGTTGTTTTGTTAAAATCTAAGCACTATATATTTTAGTGGCCATATGACAAATGGTGGGCAACCAATATTTTTTTACACAGGGAATCAATTTGGAATAGCAAATTTATACCTTCAATGTACTTTTTCATTAAAATCCTAGCAAATGTTTAAACAGATGTTTCTCAAAAACTTTTTATTAACAAAAACTAAGTTCTTACTACAATCATGACAATATTGATATGGGGAATGAACTTTAATAGCATACTATACCTGTGTATATAATAAACTGTTAACACAGAGATAAGTCTCGCCTTTTTGTTATTTTGATAGTAAAATGCAAATGTTGAATTTAAAATAGCAATACTTTAACAAGTTATGCAAATTATTCAAAGTCATTGAACCATGACTGAAGGTACAGATCCCAACCATCTCCATAGAAATGAGATGTGCCAATGCTAATACATATGAATACCAAATATCATTGATCTACCATTAGTGGTTCCCCATAAACTAACTAATAACAAACTACAACATGTAATACATTTACAAAGCAAAAGTTTCAAAGTCAATAGACCACGACTGAGGGGGCTAAGCCAAATAATCACCATGGAAATGAGATGTGTCAATGCTTATACAACTGCATACCAAATATCATTGACCTACCACTAGTGGTTCCCCATAAACTGACCTAATCACAAGCTAATACATGTAAACTATGCAAAAATTTTAAAGTCAATAGACCACTACTGAGGGGGCAGGGCCAAATAATCTCCATGGAAATGAGATGTGATAATGCAAATACAACTGCATACCAAATATCATTGACCTTCCACTAGTGTTTTCCCACAAAACTGACCTAATCACAAACTAATACATTGTTAATTCCGCTGCCGGAAACAGCATACCTACACTTGTATGTCTTGCTTTTTGACTCCATCAAGGCGAGACAAAAATGAGATGATTTGGTTTGATTGCCAATGAGACAACTATCCACCAGAGTTCCAATGAAGTGGTCATAGGCAATTATAGGCCACTATATGGGCTTCAACAATGAGAAAAACCCATACATGTATCTGCTATCCATCAAATTTTACAGTTTGGTTTGAATATCTATTGTATACTCTCCTAAAGTGAAGGATCTTGGGAATCCAGCAAATTTCTCTCTCAACATCCAGACAAATAAAAAGGCTTCATCATTTATGATGTCGTAGGAAGGCAGAAAATTAAAATAGCTTTTCAAGACATCATAATTATTTGGACTAGAAAATAAGATGTTACAGTAGTGAGGATAACTTAAACAATAGAGATGACTTTATTCATTGGTTTATTATTAGATTTTACTCAAAGACTGTTCCTCTTTCAACAAACTTTAAATATAAACTACAACTAAAATTGTGCCGCAATCTTAACTGCAGTACTGGAGGTTGATACATGTTCAACCAAGAACAATATTTATCCCTTAGCATATGTTATAGTCAAATTCATTTTATCGTCTAGACAAAGATTATAATCATACTTTCAATTATTTCGGACAAAGAAGCAATGATGATGATCAGCTGATCACTCTTTTTTTTTTTGGAATCTTGCCAACTTGATGACAAGATCAGCAAAGTTGTCAACATGTGCATGGAACTGTTAGAGCCCGAGATGGTGGATTTTGTGATCACTTTGCTATATATATTATAATCCATTTTAAGCATGCATTACGAAATGTTTTTTTCATTACCTGGTTATGAAGAAGCAGCCGGCGTTGTCAGTTTATTTTCAAGTTCAAACACGCTAGCGCGTCACTCACCTGTTGATAATTCAGGAATTCCAACAATACAGATCAGTTTAATTTATTCCTTTCACCTTAATCTGCAAAGAAATTTTTCAAAGACTTTTCTTTTTATCAAGAATCAACACAGGTAGCATAAAAAGGATGTGTATTCGTTTGACAGGTAGCACCCGCCATTTTTCAACAAATGTGTTGTCTATGAATCCAAAAATGAGATGCATGGCCGTTTTTCATTGGACAATTGTTTAAATGAAAGCCAATGAACATTCTTTTGTTAAAATTATTTACTCATTGTCACATGATTCCAATATGGTGAACAAAGTGAAAGTAGAAGTGAAAAAAAAAAAAAAAATATTGGTATGTTTGCACTGGCAATATGTTTTGTTTATGCGAGCTTAATCTACAGTTGAATTAAAATGTTTTCCCATGGGTAGTTGGAACGTGGTTGGTTTGCCTTGTTTCCATAAACAATAATGTTGAATTATTAGATTGTGAAAAAAAAGTGGTTGATGTCAAAACAAATGAAAAGTGAAATTTTTTATCCATCCACTATTGAATGGACATTAGCTGCTATCCAATAAAATACACATGGAATATTTTTTGAAATATATACATGATATATTGTGCGGATTATTTGTGTATGGTGTATTTTGATTTATAATGAAAGAGTCCAATATTCATAATATTGAAACAAAAAAGTATGAAATTTCAGAATGTATGAATAGTAATCTTTCACTAATATAAATTTCAATGTTTGTCGCGGACAATTTTTAAAAATATTTACAAAAAATGTGTGCCTTGTATATTTATAGAGATCAAGTTAAAATTTGAACCATTAACGTACTGCTTCTTTTATAATAGAATTTACCTCTAACATGTCTAAATAGTAAAACTAATGTAAAAATTTAACATAAAAGTTATCACAATTGTCAATACACAATTTTATGTGAAGACTTAATTGCTATATTTTCCGTGCAGGCAAAAGTACAATCGATTTAAAAACTTCAATAAAGAGATCTTTTTTTCATATTTAGAATTGATTTAGAGACACTAAAATTGTAACCATGTGATCTGAAAAGTTTTGCACACAGCGCCTAAGCTGTCTTCCCTCCTCTAATTGGTGGACATATTTTACCATTTATATTGGGGTCTTCAAGACCAAAGAAGGCGAAATTTGTTGACTGATAAAGTTGCAGTTTACTTGAGTGTTGTTGTCAATTGCAGTATTTGAAAAAGCATAAATGCAATTGTATCCTCAAGGTTTGAAACGCATAAGTTGACTTAAAGTAAATTCTAACACTTTTTTGTAGAACTACTTCAGAACTGAAAGATTTGTATAATTATTATGAATGCTATAATAGCACTTTGTCACTTCTGTGAAGGACATGGTCCGCAGGTTATGTTTTGTACACAGCCTATACATCCAAAGGAGCAAACAGAATTATCCAATGAGGATGCTGCAGCCTCGTTATCAAATCGAGTGAGATCACCATCTGGGGATTCATCTGTATCATCAAAGTCTGAACATACATGTGAGGTAAATATTTTCAATTTTGAGAAAAGTCGAAAAGTAGTAAATTAATTAACAGATACTTTTGAAGTTGTCCTTTAAAAATAATTCAGGGTAAATTCTTTAGCAAGTTCTGGATGTAGAAATTAGAAATTCTTTTGAAAAAAACCCATCTTATAACCACAGTTATATGAAAAGGTTTAAAAAACAATAATTAGTTTTAAAAACAAATACAGTCTATATAGACTAAGACCCAGTAATGTACAGGCACAATATCTTTGTTTGAATTAAATCAAATCAGTATAATAAGGAGATGTGGTATGGTTGCTAATTAGACAACTTCCCGCCAAAATCAAAAGAACAAAGATGTAAACAACTATATATTTAGGTCACCATATCGCCATGAAGAATGAGCAAACTCTTACCATATAAAAAGTATTCTTTTTTACATAAAACTTTTTTTAATTTTTGTCTGACATGATATACATGGTATATTTCCTCTCAAACATAAGATTCCATACGAATGTACCATTATTCATTCTTTTAAAATTCTCTTATGATCCAGGGTTGTTATTCAGTAAAAACTGGATTTGTAAGCCATGATAATGATGCTCCAATTAGTTATATTAGCAGTAAATACCCTAACCCAACACAGCCAGAAATTTACAGCCTTGTGAGAAATGCATGCTTGAGGAGTCTTAGTGGTGAGGTAAGAGTTGTTTTCCATGTTTGTTACAAATTGTAATTTGGGCATCAGGTACTATAGGTTGCACTTCTGTAAATATAGACAATGCAATTTCCCCTAGGAACTCCTTTTACGACTAAAACTATGCCACTTTACTATGAAACTTAGTAAAAAAGAGAGCTCTAATATGGAAAGTTCATATGCACTACTATTTTTTTCAAAGGTCAAAACATAGCGCTGTGCGGCATATTTTCTACATTTATATGCATCAAGCTTCTAAGAGTTTAAACTTAAATTAAAATTCTGTATCTATGAACATTATATATCTCCCGAAAAGAGGCGTGGTTTGTGAAACAGCTGTATTTACAAAGTGCAAACCTATAAAGTGGTTTATTTTTACAGACCTTTAATTTTATGAATGCTTAGGCAAAACCTGTTGGAGGGGTATTATTTTTATTTTTAGCTCACCTGGCCCAAAGGGCCAAGTGAGCTTTCTCACCAACCAAGATGGTCGCCATGGCTAAAAATAGAACATAGGGGTAAAATGTAGATTTTGGCTTATATCTCTGAAACCAAAGCATTTAGAGCAAATCTGAGATGGGGTAAAATTGTTTATCAGATCAAGATTTATCTGCCCTGAAATTTTCAGATGAATCGGACAACCCGTTGTTGGGTTGCTGCTCCTGAATTGGTAATTTGAAGTAAATTTTGCCGTTTTTGGTTATTACCTATCTTGAATATTATTATAGATAGAGATAAACTGTAAACAGCAATAATGTTCAGCAAAGTAAGATCTACAAATAAGTCAACTTGACCAAAATGGTCAGTTGACCCCTTAAGGAGTTATTGCCCTTTATAGTAAATTTTTAACCATTTTTCGTAAATTTTTGTAATCTTTTACAAAAATCTTCTCCTCTGAAACTACTAAGATAAGTTTAACCAAACTTGTCCACAATCATCATTAGGGTATCTAGTTTCAAAAATGTGTCCGATGACCCCGCCCGCAAACCAAGATGGCTGACATGGCTAAAAAATAGTACATAGGGTTAAATGCAGTTTTTGGCTCATATCTCTGAAACCAAAGCATTTAGAGCAAATCTGACGAGGATACAATTGTTCATTAGGTCAAGATCTATCTGCCCTGAAATTTTCAGACCAATCAGGCAACACGTTGTTGGGTTGCTGCCCCTGAATTGGTAATTTTAAGAAAATTTTACAGCTTTTGGTTATTATCTTGAATATTATTATAGATAGAGATAAACTGTAAACAGCAATAATGTACAGCAAATTAAGATCTACAAATAAGTCAACATGACCAAATTGTCAATTGACCCTTTAAGGAGTTATTGCCCTTTATTGTAAATTTTTGTAAATTTTTACAAAATATTTTCCACTGTAACTACTGGACCAAGTTCATTATAGATAGAGATAATAGTAAGGAGCAAGAATGTTCAGTAAAGTAAGATCTACAAACACATCACCATCACCAAAACACAATTTTGTCATGAATCCATCTGTGTCCTTTGTTTAATATGCACATAGACCAAGGTGAGCGACACAGGCTCTTTAGAGCCTCTAGTTTGTTGTCATGAATACTGATTTTTCCCGAGGTCTGATTTATGGGAAGGAATATTGTCACAATTTTATCTTTAACCTGAAACTAGTTGTTAAAGTAGTAAGTTCGGTAAGGGCCGTATTTGGCTCTGATTATTAAGTTAATTGTTTCAAGATAAAATAGCTTTAAGATGATTAAAAGACATGTGAGAAAGTTGAATAGAACTAATTATTTGTCAAGTTTTATTTCAAAGCGTTGATTTTTACATCCCAAATAGATAAAAAAAAGATATGTTTGCGAAATTTGACAAATCGTCCACATTTCAACCAAATGAAGGCCTAGGAAACATAGAGTGCAGATGTTCACAAACGAAATATTCAAGTCCAATATGTAAAATGTTATAATAAAAATTGTGTTAAAAGATCTTACATGCACTTAATGTTTCCTGTCCAAAAATTCAATGGAAATTTACCTATTTTCATTGAGTTTTTGTGGAAAATCAAAACAAGTGCTACTTGTAATGTCATGTATAGAATGCAAATACATAAATTTTAAACAAAAGACTTTTTAGTCAATGAAGCCTGGAATTAGCTATGATTCATTTTTATATTGGTCAATAAATCTTAATTTGAAATTGGAGAGAGAAATGGGCCATTTTTGTGCCTTATCGAACCTACTCCTTTTAACTTACGGTACATGATCAACAGATATAGAAAAAATACGCTTTGAGCCATTCAGTGTGTGATATACATTGTAAGGGTTGTTTCCCCTATTACCAGATTACATAACTACACAAGCTTAGGAGAAATACATGCTTTAATTGCACACTACCAGACAATTGTATGTACAATTAAAAGTCTGTGAAAATGACAATGTTGGCCAAAATGTAATGAGATAAGGGTTATCTTTCCCTGAAACATAAGACTGAATATAAGTGTGGTTAATATTTTAATCATATCTATGAAAGAATAAAGTTTTGCAATTACACTAAATGGTAATTCTTCGAGAATCAAAAATTGTAATGTATTTATCATTCCATTTTAACATGATTGATATTTTTTTTGTCTTTCCATTTAAGGTATGTCCAGGTAATGAAGGAGCTATTTTCTTTGGCAATGATCAACAAGGACATGTACTTAGCTATACTTTTCAGTTGAAGGACAATCTTGCTCGTGGTTTCCAACGGAAATATAGTATCATTGTTATGATGATGGATAAAATTTATTTACTTAATTCCTGGCCATTTCTTGTTCCACATTTAAAAATTTTGATTGAACATTTGCAAGATAAAGCAGGTAAAGTCTATGAATCAGAACAAGCAAAATGTCCACAACGCGCAGTTCGTTTAAAGTCCAGCATAAATGCAGGAAATTTCTTCCAGCAAAGGGGAGGTAATAACCCTGCTAGGTCATTAATGGAACTGACAAAAGATAAAAACATTTTTAAAATTTTACATGTGGCATTTGTTTGGATATTAAAAGCATGTAGTAACAGAATTACAGAGACATTGCTTGAAGGACCACCAACTGAAGATTCTATCATCGATATGGAGAAACAAGAAGGTATTCTGTTAATTGTAGTGAAGAAATGTCTCCCATATACACATGTATTGGGCCACCCTTAACAAATTCTTTGTTTGATGTTACTTAACCATGCCTTGTAGAGTTGGGTCATTAGGAAGGTAGGAATATTATTTGTTTTGGCCAAAAACATAAGTTACATGTTTTAGACAAGAAAACAACGTTAAAGCACAAATTTTTTTTTAAAAGAAATATTTGAAACGATTTGTGTCATAAAATTTTTCGAGTAGGCTGCTTTTTAGGTGGGTAGGTAGGCAACATCAAACACTTTTAATTTTATTTATGGCCTTATAGAATAATTATTCCATAAACACTACATGTGCTATAGTAAACTTCTTTAGGTATGCTTGAAACTTAAAGGTATGAAAGTAAAAAATGCATGTACACACACTTTGTCACAAGAGTCAGTGGCATATAATAATTGAACAATAATAAAACAAGACATTCAAATGAAATGAAATATGCAATATTTAGCAAGGTTATGTTAATCGCAAAGATGTCATATAGACTAGACAGTTAGCAAATCCACTTTTCTTAGTACCATGGAGTTGTTAATTTTGATATCACTACCGATACTTATGTTTGCCATTTCACCTCCAACGCAATCATTAAACTTATTGTATGAAAAGTTTTATACAGTTAAGAAGTTACATGAGCACATACACATTTAAAAAATTCCTATTGGTCTTGTTTGTATGAATAAAAAAGAGATGTGGAGTAGGCATCAGTAAGGCAGCAATCCAACAACAAAAACATTAAAATGACATCTAGAGGTTAAGATACAATCTTCAACATTAAACAGGTGTCAATGTACTATGTCAAAAATAAGGAGAGTAAATGAAACAGAATTTATCAAAGCTATGTCCTCAATTCTTATAAAAAAACAAAAAAATTAAAACATAACAATAGACAGACAACCCAGGGTTCTCCCTAAGGTAAGTCTACAAGTCCTGGACTCATGAAAATCTGTCTATACTCATCATTTTCAAAACTGGTGAGTCCAAAGATGCATTAAATTGCAAAATGTTGTTTCAGCTGAGCATATATATATTACCATTTTATAACAAAAGTTTAAAAAATAGTTGAAATATAATGTAATTTCCTAGCTTTATTTTTGTCATGAAGACTATAATGATAAATTATATAGCAATAAAGTTTCATGTTTGCACTGTTGGACTCACCATATCCAAAAATGATAAGTCCTTGGACTCACCTTCAAAAATCCTTAGTGAGAACCCTGGACAACCACTGATGAGGTTCCTGACTTGAGACAGACACATGACATGTTTCTATGTTAAAACTAGTTCCTTGAGATAAAAGTTTTTCTCATCTGTTGACAAGACATTTGACCAGTTTTGTTTATAGCATTATCTTACATTTTCTCCTTATATGTAATCATTAACAATGCAAGTTTGTTGTTTTTTACAGAGACAGAAGAAGGTTTCATAAAATTATTTTCCAAGCCTGCAAATGAAGTTGGTGATGGGGACACAACTCCATTAGCAGAGGAAAGGGAGATAACTGATGAAGACATTCATCCATCTGAGCTGGATAATATTCATAACTTAAGACTATTGCTAAAGGTTGATCATTTTAAATATACAAACTTAGCTAACAACACTTTTAATTGGCAATACTTGATATTGTAACATTTTTAATAGATTACTGGTTGAAATATTTGATGAAACTCGAAGCTTAGTTCTCCATTTTAATAATTTTACCTTAAATAAAAGTTTTAAATAGTATTTACATAGAGGTGTCAATGATGCATATTAAAAACAATTTATCATCAGTAACAATTACTTTCTTTTAATAATGATTGATAGGTCAATTTCTTATATTAACTGAATTCCACAATTCACATATTTTTCAGGTACTGGGTGAAAGTAACTTTCATCTCCTGACCCACCATGTTGTCATCGGCAACCAAGTTATCATACGTGGTTCATATCAAAAAACCATCAAGTTGATTCTTCATGCTTTAATGGTAAGAATATATATAAAACTGGTTTGAAACACCAGTTTACTACACCTTGTATGAGTGCAAAGATCTACAATTTCAAATATTTGTTACCTTTTCACCTAGTATACTACACTGCAGCTCTGCTGAACTGTTCCATATAAGTAGCTTGTCTGAGGTTGTTAGTAATTTTCTATTCTTACACTCTTTTGATATTTCAATCTTTTTCTAACCAGTTAAAGATTCAATAGTCCATTTGCCAATTGCCGACTGCATTCTGTTATTACACACTTTTAACACAAATTGCTTCCCTTTGTCATCTGTAGACAGGTTCTATAGCAGATAAAATTGGCTTCTGCCCACCCAAATCATGATAAGTTGAAAATGATATATCTGCATTTTAACTAATTTTTGGTGATTAATAACTACTGGTGTCAAAACATTTTTAGCTTAGCAAAAAAATTATATGCAAATAAAAGATTTTAAAAACTTAAAGGTTACAGTCATTATCCACAGATAAATTTGCTGTTTCTGTTAGCTCTCCATTGTCAATGAAATTTATGTCCTTCCTAAGGGAGACAACTAAAAATTTGATCTCTAATTACAGGATCAGTTTAGGGAATTGGTATCTAATGGACTATTTAATTTTAAAAAGTTCAAATGTTGCATGAAACACAGCATGTTTTGTAGCTGTTTCCTCAGTAGATAAGGGGAGACAGGAATACCATAGATAATTGCATCCATGTTATAGTTACCAGTAAATTGCTACAGGGGTGAGGGATGAAAAACTGTTATGTTGGTTCTCAAATTGTACTTTCTTAATGGTGATTCTACATAGGTATAGACCAATTTCGAGTCTTTTTTATGAATGAGTTACGGCCGTTAACCTGAGGTTATTGAACAATCAAATCCTATTGTGACATAATAACATAAGGATTGTGACATTGGAAATGTACAGGAAAGTGCAAGAATGTGAAAGTCATCTAGAAGCCAGGGGCCAGCAAAATCCCGCCTTCAGGTGCGGGATTTTCTCATTGTGTTGAAGACCCATTGGGGGCCTTCAGCTGTTTTTTGCTCTTTGGTCGGGTTGTTGTCTCTTTGACACATTCCCCATTTCCATTCTCAATTTTATTGTACTTAACTAACATCGTCTATATTAAATAAAAAAAATAAAGTACAAGTTATAGATTTAATATAGAAATACTAGACGATAGACAAAAACACTTTCAAACAAGAAAACATCACAAAATTATTCTTTATAATAGAAAAACAAAGGATATGGGGTATCCATTCATGACACAAAATCAGTACATGCACAGAAAAAAACACACAATAAGCAAAGGAACAGCACTTGTATTGCTGTTCTTCATCTCAAAGTCACAGTGAGGCCTTCAACACGGAGCATAAAAACTCTCACCTCATTGCAAATTTAAGACGGCCCCTAGCAGAATTTATGTTCTTTAATTCAATACTTTCAGATGCTAGTACCCAGAGGTTGTTGTCGATCAATTTTTCACAGTAATGAATACCAGGAGTCATTCAGATGCAATTTCCTTGGCCTGACAGCTGATAGTTCTCTACCTAGTCACATCTTGTCCTCAGAAATGTTTGTGCTGTTGGTAGAAATGCACTTGAAAGATGAAAATGACAAACCTCAAAATGACAATGATTTTCATAAATTTGAATACAGCATGGCAAGCCCAACAAGATTAATGGATAAAGGTACACATTTGATAAGGGACCTGAGATATTTTTAATACAGTCTATAAAATCATTAGGCATCTGATCAATCAATTTGAGTAGTTATCCTTATTCGTGTCCCGTGCCTTCATATTATCTTTACATCCTACTTTTAATATTAAACTTGTTAGTTTTCTTTAAAAAAAATCAAATGTTCTTTTTGCACAATACTGTTGATTTGAACCTGTCTATGTTAATGGCCAAAGAATCACTGCACTCAAAAGGAAAAAATAAACACATATTTTTATAGTTTTAAGGAAATTAACATTAAGACGGATCCTATGCTTCTGATATTCTGATCCTACAGAGATGCCATCTTTGCAAGCCTAGGGTTATGATCCTACCCACTCCTCTTCACCCTTGGCAGATTAAGTCAAGAATTTGTGATCCATGAGGTAATGATTTCCATTGGACACAATTATAACTAGCTGCACCAGTCAAAAACAAGCTTCAGATGCAGTGGTGATGTGTAAATAAAGAAAATGTAAATAAACAATTGCCACATGCAGATTGTGCAATGTGTCTTTACCCCCAAAACATAAGGCGATATTTAGCAACAAAATTTTATATTGAAGTTCCTAGGTATGCTCCTAGAACAGATGATGGAAATGTCAAGTTTTGTTAACTTATATTTGCTGTTTCTGATTTACGAAATTTATTAACACTGGACACAGTCATTTTTACACCTCCAAAAACTAAAAAGTACAAGCACTGTCATTGGTCAATTATGATGTAGTCGGAGTGGGCATGACTTCTATCTGTCACTAGATGGCACTATGATGTAAACACAAATTCTGTCTTAATCTGCCAAGGGGGAAGAGGAGCGCGCTGGATCATAAACCTTGGCTAGGGAAGATGCAGAGTTGCTAACATAATGCCAAACCTGTCTGATTTTTTTTTAGTGTTTGCTGTTAATATAATATATATGTATTTTGAGGAGCCTGATGGGTTATTTTCGTTCTTCGTGATAGGCGCATTTTCGCTATCGTGATCCGTTTTTCTAGATTTTTTTTTTTTTATATTTTCGTGATCCGTGATCATGGAAATTTATTTTCTGTGAATCGTGATTGACAAAAAAATCAACTCGTGAATCGTGATGAGACCCCCCATCAGGCCCCTCTATTTTAGTAGTTATGAAGTTTGTTCATTTGAGAATTTCTCATCATTCAATTACTTCAAATATGAAAAGATTGAGATGTGGGGTAAACATTGATTAGACAAATAACCAAAAGTTGGACTATCCGTCTTTTCAGAGTGAGTTAATAGCACTGTTCAAATTTTCACACTTCATACTTTTTGCAATGGTGTAAATATAGTTACTGAACAATTTACTCTTAACCTTTTGCAACAATCATCATATCCATTGTCAAAGACAGTATCGTTAAGAACATTTAGAAATTTTCATTTTTTATATTCAATGTTTATTTTTAGCACCAACTGTCTTACAAAAAATACAACTGGCTCTAAATAACGAAAGATTCTCTAATGGAGTGATGGAGCAATGTTTGATCTGTCTGAAAGAAGAATGGATGAAGTAAGAAATATAAATGATTCAAATAGACTCAGAATGTCTTATATTAAAGGCAAAAATTGAAATATATGGGATAGACAAAATATCTGACACCCTTACTATCTTTTGAAGGGTTATAAACCACTGATTAGAACCTCAAATTAAAATTAAAATATGTAATAAAAACAGCTTTATTAGGATCATTTGTTAAATCAGCAGATATATTGATATTTTTTGCTTGCTTAATGGCCAGTTGCAATTATTTCATACATATTCAGAATGAGATAGAATAAACAAATAATAAAAATTGGTATGTCAAACAAAGTAGGAAGAACTTTCAAAGAGCGCTAATTTCGAGTGCCATCGGAAAAGACAAGTTTGAAAATTTATTGAAAATTTGCCTTGCAACAGGCCAGGTACAGACCCCTCAGAGAATTGTTGCATGCAGAGATAGTGGAACTCTTCCTACTTGAGACAACAGATTTAAAGTCCACATTTTGACTGGACTTGGCTGCAAATTTATACATCATGCACAGCCAATCAAACACCCCACTTAAGAAAGGTGTTTTTCTGTCAGAATGGGAGAGATTCCAGATATAGAAATATGGTCACACATTTCTATATCCCAGTCAACTCTGGGTTTCCACAGTTAGAATGAAATATTAAGGATTAAAATGGTAAACATGTCATGGTGACAGAAACCTTTCAATAATAATCATCACAATTATTATGATATCTTAAAAGTTTGGAAAAATTGTCGAAAACAAATCCTCCATTCATATACAAATAGGAAATTTTCATAGTTAAAAGATGTATTCTTTAACGAATTTAAAGATTGGATAAGAAAAATATTCCTTTAGATGATTGGAGCTTAATACAAATGAAATCTTTAAACATATGGTACACAACATTATTTCTGTGGTCACATCTTGTGATTCATGAAATTGTCTAGGTTCTAAAAACTACTAGCGTATGGTACATGTGTAACAGGGAAAAGTTGATTATTTCTGTTTAAGTTGAATTCTTTTTAGAAAATAAATCAGTAAAGTACATTGCCTCCTTAAAACTGAAGCAAAATATGAAAAAAATAAATAAATAGATAAACTATATTTATTTTTCAGCAAAGTGAAAGTTTTATATAAATTCACAAAGGCAGGAGGGAGTATCTCAGAAATTGACACTCATAATTTGTTACAAGTTGTTGATGCAAAAGAAGAAGATAAGCAGTTACTCAAATTCTGGACATCAGGACTTAGTGTTCAGTACAGGGATCACATACGGAAAACATCTAAATCTCAACACTAACATGCTGTTTGTTAAATTGTCTTTATGCTCTATGTTAACAGAATGCTTTGCAGATACAGGGATTTCAGTACTGTTAAATCATCTTGAGAACTTAAAAAGTATGTGCTCTTGTCATACCTTGATTATCATACCTAGGCTAGGTTATCAAAAATAAAAGTGGCAGCTCCAATTTTGTATTACAGGACATTTTTGTAATGAACCAGTTATTATATACCGTGTGATCAAATTCTGATCACGTGCCTACACTTGGCGCTAAATTAAAAAAAAAATTTCATCCTTGTAGTTTTTTTTTCTGTTCAATAATTTTTCAAGGGTATAATATCTCAGAAATTTTATGCTTTAAGCATGCTTTTCATGTTTTGGTTTAATTGGTTTCTTCTGTTGAAATTTTTCTGTCTATGCTTTGTGGTAATGTCGTAAAATCACACTTTTCTAGCCTCCACGGTGATCTTGTAGATGTGTGTTCGTCTGGAGTGCGGGAGGTTGCAAGTTATGATGGGTCAAACCAAAGACTTTGAAAATTGGTATTTGCTGCTTCTCCGCTAAGCAAGCTGCATTAAGCAGTAAGAGAAAAAGTCAGCTTGGAATCCAGGTGGGTTGACATGTCTTCCTGCGTGTTACCTTGTGAACTAGCCCTTAAATAAACTGGTAACACAGAGATATGTCTCACCTTTTTGTTATTTTGATAGTAAAATGCAATTGTTGAAATTGAAATACATGAAGCAATATTCCTAACATGTAAGTAATGCAAAATTTTCAAAGTCAATGAACCATGACTAATGGGGTGGGGCCAAATAATTTCCATGGAAATCAGATATACCAATGCTAATACAACTGCATACCGAAAATCATTGACCTTCCACGAGGTTCCCATAAAACGAACTTATCACAAACTAATACATTGTTGATGATAACGCTGTAGCAGCCACCGCCAGAAACAGCATATCTATGTCTCTCTTTTTGACCCAGTCAAGGTGAAACAAAAATCAGGCTCCGTGTGTCAGTTTTGATAATTTATAAAGTTGTTTACTGTGGGTTCATTATTATTCGTGGGATACCGATTTTCATTGATTTCATGGTTACAGGTGAACCACAAATTTAAATGTTCAACGAAGTACAAATTTTCTATAGGCTTGTATGCAGACCTTAATAAAACCACAATATCAAATATCCACAAAAGTTTCCTCAATCCACAAAAATAATGAAGGGCCACAGTATACAAAAACTAAATCAAGTTAATGCTATCTCCTAATTTAACAAAGACTTAACGAGTTTAATATTATTGTTAGTTTATATGTTTTGTGCAATATAGATTATTTTTAAATAAATGATATGATTTTTTTTTGGTTTTTTTATCTATATTATTAGACATAAACATATTTTCAATACTTGATGCTGCTGCTGCCGCAGACATAAAACATTGTCTTTACTCATACCACTTTTTTCAAAAATTCCTACTGCATATCTCTGATAAAACCAGGTAAGGTACCAGTCTTGTATTACAACTCCAGTTTCCGGTGCATGTCAAAACATGGAGTGAAATGAAATAGTCTTTTTTCTGAATTTTTTTCTGGGCTCAATTTTATCTGTTTTATTAAAAGTTTATGCTGAATTGAAACATGTATTTAGATTAAAAAATGAGGCAGTCAATTACAAGACTGCAACCATAATCCTCTGGATGTCTGTTTTGCGATTGTCTTCCCTATGACAAATGTCACAGAATACAGTTGATATATAAGGATGCAAATCTGGTAAAGGCGGCGGAGTGAGCTGCTTTTATAGAAATAAACATTTCAGTAGGTGGAAGACCTTGATACTTCATATCTTGTAAAAAATTGCCTTATAGTACATAGTTTATGTCCTTAACCTCATTTTCATGGAACAGCAAATGCTTTAAAAATAGTGGGTTTGTGTCAAGTGATTTTTATGCCCCACCTACTATAGAAGTAGGGGCATTATGTTTTCTGGTCTCTGCGTCCTTTCGTTCGTCCATCTTTCCCGCTTCAGGTTAAAGTTTTTGGTCAAGGTAGTTTTTGATGATGATGAAGTCCAATCAACTTGAAACTTAGTACACATTTTCCCTATGATATGATCTTTCTAATTTTAATGCCAAATTAGAGTTTTGACCCCAATTTCACGGTCCACTGAACATAGAAAATGATGTGCGAGTGGGGCATCCGTGTACTATGGACACATTCTTGTTTTCATTTATTATGAGAATAAGACAACTATATTTGGTCTATAGACTCATTTGCATGGTATGTCAATCAGATAGGGTTCATCTGACCTTGACCTCATTTCATGGGTCAGTAATCAATGTTCAGATATAGAGAATAGGTCTAATTTTGTCTCGTTTTTCAGAAGGTAGAAAACCTGGATGCTTCATATCTTGTATGCAGATACCTTATATTACGAAGTTTCCTTCTGTCATATATCTATTGTCCTTGATGTCATTTTCATGGATCTGAATGTTTTTGTCATGGGAAATACTCTTTATTATGAGTAATACAATACCTGTATTTGGTAAATGGCTTCTTTGCAAGGTCTATATGTCTGTTTGGAAGGTTTCATCTGACCTTTTCATTTTCATGGTTCAGTGGACAATATTTGACTTTGTGGTTTTGTTTATTTCTCAGATACTTTAGGCAACTAGAAATCATTGAGATGGGAGCCATCTCTGTGGGAACCGCTGCAAATAATGTGTGGTAAAAAATTTGTATGGATAAGCTGATATGAAGCACTTTTTTTAGTTATTACAAAGTCTCGTTATGTGCTGAGTGATTTTATTCTATGTTTTTTAGTTAAAGTGTTATATTTGGAAATTTAATTTAACTTAAAAATATCCTGAACTTACTTTCATAGTATAATAGTGATGTGACTGCATGGTGTGAATTCATTGTTGACCAGTAGGTGACTTCTGGATATATGGGTTGATGTATAAACTTTGAAATCATAACGGTTCTCAAGATATAGAGCGAACATGATCTGTACTATAGGACATGGGGTTGTCAACCGAAACCAAAGTTTTTGACCTTGACATTTGACCTAGGAAGTTGTACATACATTATGACACACCCTCTGGCATTGGTTAACATACATGTCAAGTATAAACTTTGAAATCATAACGGTTCTCAAGATATAGAGCAGACATGATCTGTACCATAGGACATGGGGTTGTCAACTGAAACCAAAGTTTTTGACCTTGAACTTTGACCTAAGAAGTTGTACAAACATTATGACACACCCTCTGGTGTTGGTTAATATAGGTGTCAAGTATAAAGTATGAAATTATAATGGTTCTCTAGATATAGAGAGGACACAATTTGTTACAGACGGACAGACAGACCTGAAACCAAAGTTTTTGACCTTGAACTTTGACCTAGGAAGTTGTACAAACATTATGAAAAACCCTCTGGTTTTGGTTAATATACATGACAAGTATTAAGTATGAAATTATAACGGTTCTCTAGGTATAGAGCGGACACAATTTGTTACGGACGGACAGACCTGAAACCAAAGTTTTTGACCTTGAACTTTGACCTAGGAAGTTGTACAAACGTTATGATACACCCTCTGGTGTTGGTTAATATACATGTCAAGTATAAAGTATGAAATTATAACGGTTCTATATATAGAGCGGACACAATTTGTTATGGATGGATGGACAGACCTGAAACCAAAGTTTTTTTACCTTGAACTTTGACCTAAGAAGTTGTACAAACATTATGACACACCCTCTGGTGTTGGTTAATATACATGTCAAATAAAGTATGAAATTATAACAGTTCTCTAGATATAGAGCGGACACAATTTGTTAGGGACTGAGAGACGGACAGACAGACTGATCACTATAGGGCGACCTGCCACTAGGCATGGCCTTAATAAGGCCTCTATATTTGGTGTATGGAATGATTGTAAGGTATACATTTCTATTTCATATCACCTTGATCTCATTTCTATGGTTTATAAGTCAATGTTCAGTTTTCATAGTTTTGTCAGTTTATCAGATACTATAAGCAATAGGTCAACAATATTTGGTGTATGAAGTGGTTATAAGGTGTACATGTCTGTCTAGCAGGGTTCATATGAATTTGACCTCATTTTCATGGTTCATTTGTCAATGTTGCCCATAGGCCTTGTATAACTTACTTTAAGGTAGGGGTTTTGAAGGTTGAAGCATCACACCATCAGTTGTTTACATCCTGGTCTTTGGCAGATAGTTGTCTCTCTTGCAATCATACCAAGTCTGCTTGTCTTTTATAATTGAAAGATGTTAGTTGATTGCTGTATGATAATTTCACTTGCCAATTCAAGGGGCTAAAAAGTGGTCTTATATAATAGGCTTGAATGAAAGCAGAAAAATGCTTGCATACATGCAGTTTGTAATGTTTTCACAGAAAATTCCATATTCATCTTTTAGGTTACATGCAGCATGCTTACCACAAATTTTATACTTGTGAAAAGCATTCTGTGTGTATGCAATTTGTTTTAGGATCAAATATTAACCTTCTTATCAATTGACAATTCTTGATTTATTGTTGAATAATCAGTAATGGGTACAAAATATTCAGGAGCATCTTATAAATCGGTAGATTATAAAAGTCTATGAAAAGCACAAAATTGAAAGATGTCTAATTTTTTTTTTTGTGTCCTCTGGTTGTTGTCTCATTTATTTATGAGGGTCTGGATGAGTGGTCCTTCATTTCTGTATTCTTAAATTATTTAGGCCATTTTTCTCTATTCTTTATATTTTTGGCCCATTATTCTCTATTCTGTAAATCCCCATCCACACCCTCATTTATATCCCACATCTCCTACTTATACATAACATCTTTTGGTGAATATGATTGTGGGAACATTCAAGAAAATCGATGTAGCAATTTGATATCTGAGAAGACAACAGGGACTATTTAATTCAAATTTATTGAATTGGCAGTTTCAGAATCTAACTGATTATGGATAATTTCATTGTAAATATAAAAATAAGAAGATGTGGCATGATGGCCAATGAGACAACTATCCATCAGAGACCAAATGACATAGAAGTTAACAGCTATAGGTCACTGTACGCCCTTCAACAATGAGTAAAACCCATACCGCATAGTCAGCTATAAAAAGCCCTGAAATGACAAATGTAAACAATTCAAATGAAAAAAAAAACCGGCCTGATTTGTGTATAAATTAATGAACAAAAAACAAATATGATATACAGCAACAAACAACAACCACTGAATTACTGGCTCCTGACTTGGGACAGGCACATACAGAATGAGGCAGGGTTAAATTAGTTTGAAGGCACCAACCCTCCCCCTAACCTGGGACAGTGGTGTAACCAAGTACACCAAAATGAAAATAATATTACACCATTGGTTGAATTTCCATTGGTATGGTCATTATCAACCAATCATAACTTTTCATCATAGGCTTTTGAACATACTACCCAGAATGCATTAGATTCTGAAATAAACAGCTGCGCCATGAGTGCATGATACGCCCGTCGTCTTGTGTGTGAATTTTTATGCAATAAGCATAAATAGTTTCTGACATATGGCGTGACATGCGAAAACCCCCTCTTTTTTTTACAAAAAACTCAATACCTCTAAAATAAAATTTTGAATCAAAACCAAAAAGTATACAGATCTTTAGATAAATATAACTCAGAAGTGTGTAAAATTTTATGCAATAATCATAAATCGTTTTTGAGATACGGCGCGACATGTGAAAACCCCCCTTTTAAAAAAAATAAATCAATATCTCAAAAATAAAATTTTGAATCAAAACCAAAAAGTATACAGATCTTTAGATTAATATAACTAAGAAGTGTGTAAAATTTTAAGCAATAATCATAAATCGTTTTTGAGATACGGCGCGACATGTAAAAAACCCCTCCCCCTTTTTTTACAAAATACTCAATAACTCAAAAATAAAATTTTGAATCATCACCAAAAAGTATACAGATCTTAAGGTTAATATAACTAAGAAGTGTGTAAAATTTAAGCAATAATCATAAACTGTTTTTAAGATACGGCGTGACATGTGAAAAACCCCTCCCCTTTTTTTAACAAAATACTCAATATCTCTAAAATAAAATTTTGAATCATCACCAAAAAGTATGCAGATCTTAAGATTAATATAACTAAAAAGTGTGTAAAGTTTTAAGCAATAATCATAAATTGTTTTTGAGATACGGCGCGACATGTGAAAAAAAACACACCTGTTTTAGTTACTAAGTCCTGTAACTCAAAAAGTTTTAATCTTATTTTCACCAAAAAGTATACAGATTGTTTGACCATCATAAGAAACAACTATGTTAAGTTTCATGAAATTTGGATAAGTCATTCTCAAGTTACGGTGCGACATGTTAACGCCGGACAGACAGACGGACGGACGGACACCGGACATTTGTATACCATAATACGTCCCATCAAAAATTGACGGGCGTATAAAAACTATTTAAAACTATTGTTTTTCTCTTCTCTAAAAACCTTCTTCATACATGTATCATAATTACAAATAAACAGCTGCGCCTTGAGCGCATGATACGCCCGTCGTCTTGTGTGTGAATTTTTATGCAATAAGCATAAATAGTTTCTGACATACAATGGACATGCAAAAAACCCCTTTTTTTTTTACAAAAAACTCAAGATCTCTAAAATAAAATTTTGAATCAAAACCAAAAAGTATAAAGATCTTTAGATTAATATAACTAAGAAGTGTGTAAAATTTTAAGCAATAATCATAAATCGTTTTTGAGATACGGCGCAACATGTGAAAACCCCCCCTTTTTAAAAAAAAAAAATCAATAACTCAAAAATAAAATTTTGAATCAAAACCAAAAAGTATACAGATCTTTAGATTAATATAACTAAGAAGTGTGTAAAATTTTAAGCAATAATCATAAATCTTTCTTAAGATACGGCGCGACATGTGAAAAAACCCTTTCCCCTTTTTTTACAAAATACTCAATAACTCAAAAATAAAATTTTGAATCGATCACCAAAAAGTATACAGATCTTAAGCTTAATATAACTAAGAAGTGTGTAAAGTTTTAAGCAATAATCATAAATTGTTTTTGAGATACGGCGCGACATGTGAAAAACCCCTCCCCCTTTTTTAACAAAATACTCAATATCTCTAAAATAAAATTTTGAATCATCACCAAAAAGTATACAGATCTTAAGATTAATATAACTAAGAAGTGTGTAAAGTTGTAAGCAATAATCATAAATTGTTTTTGAGATACGGCGTGACATGTGAAAAAAAACACACCTGTTTTAGTTACTAAGTCCCGTAACTCAAAAAGTTTTAATCTTATTTTCACCAAAAAGTATACAGATCGTTTGACCATCATAAGAAACAATTATGTTAAGTTTCATGAAATTTGGATAAGTCATTCTCAAGTAACGGTGCGACATGTTTACGCTGGACAGACAGACGGACAGACAGACGGACGGACATTTGTATACCATAATACGTCCCGTCAAAAATTTGACGGGCGTATAAAAATTGCATTGTGCACAAATCAAGAGCATTAACAGAAAAATATATTCACTCATAATGGGAATGAAATACAAACAATTAATATTTCTGTAACATATTTATTAAGAGTATAAAATTTAATTTCTATTTTACATCAGATATTGTTTATTGGTATACATTAAATGTCAAATTCAGTGATTTTACTGGTCAGGAATTTGTAATACAGTATTTAAATTTCTGAATTAAATTTGTTTTTGTTAATGACACTAGGTTGCTCAAAAATTGTAAAAAGAATTCTAAAAAACTTTAAAAAAAACTCTTCCCATTTCAAATGAAAATTGCACAATAAAGTACATGTAACATCTATTAATGTTTAGGAAATTTATCTGAAATTATGCATGAAATTGATTATAAAATGAACAACTATATACAAAATGTTTGATTGATATGTACCATACATGAAATTCAGTGATACTGGTCAAGAATTTTCAATACAGTATGTAAATTTCTGAATTGAATTTGTAGAGGCTAAATAATAATTATGACATTAGGTTGCTCAAAACTTGTAAAAATTATGCATGAAATTGATTATAAAATGGATTACTATATACAAAATGAAAGGCACAAATTACAAAAAATACAACCTGTGTGTCATATGTAGGAATGTCTATTTTGATATAGTTATATATAAAACTAGATTACAAAAGTTTCTAGCATAAAAATGCAGCTTATATTCCTTTGTGTTGCAGGCCAGACAAAAGTAATACAATACAATATTTAATAATGAACCAAAAATGCCAAAATCTGATAATTTCATTTTTTTTTTAATTTCCTCAAAACACTGTTTCCTTTTTTAGTGTATACTTGTTAAAAGGTGATGAAAAAAGGATATGCAAAACTATTTATACCAGCATCAGAATTTTTTAACAGTTCCAAAATAAGAAAAAAATAAGGCAGATCTATTTTGATATTATCTTTTTTTACTATAATATTGATTCAGATGATACATCAGCATTGTCACTGAACACCACAGTATCTGTTGGAGGTACTGGAGGTCTGGGTCCTGCCATTGGCAATGGAGGCTTTTCTCTGAAAAATTAAATTTTATTTCATATTAAACAATCTAGGGGAACAGATTTGTTTAACATTGTTTTTTCAAATATCACAAACTTTTGTGTCTTACCTCTAATTATTGAAATTTGATAAATATTTTAAGATCTGTCTACTTTGAAATAAACATGTTCATTATGCATATTTCAGCTATTTGACTTATAATTGATTTCACAGTAAATGATACTGCTTTCATCAAATAATTTCTGGTTTCAGTTTTCTGTTCTTCTTTTAGATTCAAACTATTGATAACATATAATTTTATTTTTGTTTCAAAGATCTGAAAATATAAAACTGAATGTTGTGTTTTTGAGAGTTTATACAAAATGAAAGCAAGCGACACCCACATTTTTAGTAAAATTTTCTGACATTCACAAGATTTAGTGTACAAGTATAAAAACATTAATCAGAATGATTTAAATTCAGAAATGGCAAATTAAACAGCAATGCATCAAACTCTGTCAGCAATTTTATTATGCTATGAAGCAATCTTTAGAACAGCAAAAATAGGTATAGTCAATAGTTCAATAATTCATTCTTTACATCAGATTATTTTGTTATGTATAATGTTTATATATTTCCGAGTGTATCACACAAAGTGACCAGCATTCACTGTGAAAATACACCACCAATAATTTTGAGATATTTTAGCGTGAATCACGCAAAGTGAGCAGCATTGACTGTGACAATTCAACACCAAGAAAACTGAATCCTCTAGTGTGTACTTTATAATGTTTGTGATTTATATAAACTTACAACAGAGGTTCACCAGCTTCAACAACTTTCTCAGGTCTACGTCTCTCACGATCATCATCATATCTCCTACGATCTTCCTGACGTCTTCTTTCGTCATCCCTAGGATCTCGTCTCCTATCTGGATCCCTGGGATCTCTTGGTGGTCCTCTAGGAGGCCCTCTTCTATCTGGATCTCTGGGATCTCTTGGAGGTCCTCTTCGATCTGGATCTCTGGGGTCTCTAGGAGGTCCTCTTCTCTCTGGATCATTGGGATCTCTTGGACCTCTTGGAGGGCCTCGAGGTGGACCCCTTCTATCTCTGTCATCCCCATATCTGTCACCGGGAGGACCTCTACGTCTGAAATTTTCCAGGGATTAGCATGAATTATTTTTAGCTTAAATATTTATTTAGAAAAGGGATCAAATCTAAGATCAGGAGGTTGCATACAGCAGCATTTACTGAAGACATCATACAGCAGCATTTACTGATGACATCATACAGCAGCATTTACTGATGACATCATACAGCAGCATTTACTGATGACATCATACAGCAGCGTTTACTGATGACATCATACAGCAGCATTCACTGATGACATCATACAGCAGCATTCACTGATGACATCATACAGCAGCATTCACTGATGACATCATACAGCAGCATTCACTGATGACATCATACAGCACCATTTACTGATGACATCATACAGCAGCATTTACTGATGACATCACACAGCAGCATTTACTGATGACATCACACAGCAGCATTTACTGATGACATCATACAGCAGCATTAACTGATGACATCATACAGCAGCATTTACTGAGGACATCATACAGCAGCATTTACTGAGGACATCATTCCATTGCCTGCAGTGTTCTCCCCAGGCCCTTAAAGGACAGCGGGCCCGCGATGTATAATTTTTTACCGTGGTGGTATCGTTCTTACCGCGATGTATAATTTTTCTCCGTGGTGCTAAAATTTTCAGTTAAAAAATCGTAAATCGGTAAAGTTTTAAACGACTTGTTAAATCTTTTCCGCGCGGTATAAAATTCCAGGTGAAATTTGACCAGTTCAAACCAGTTCAACACAGATTGTTTACACCACGTGATCGATTTACCTTATGAGGTTAACCTTGTTGATTGGATTTAATCGATGTAATTAACACTTGTAACATGATTCTTTTGTGTTTTAATTAAGAGTTCATAACTTTGTGATCACAGATAACTATTTTATGGCTTCACTCTCCACCCAAGCACTGACCTGTGACAAGTCGGCAAATACTTTGTACACAAACAGTGTCTTGACCCGATAGGAACATTTTTTGTACATCATAATGGTGGCTCATTACGTATAATGGACAACTATACATTTCCCAATTCTTATATTATAGTATTATATGTCTCTGATTAAACCATGGCCAATATTATCTTTAATTATGACATTGTTATTGCATGAAAGTCGGGTTTCAAACTGTCTGTACATATCACATGACCCAGTTAGTTCACGTAGAATATTCAAGTTTATTTACAATTAATTGCAATCTATTATATTTTATAAATAAAATGCATGACTGTACCTTCAAACTGGATATCTATATCCATTATTAATGAATAACAGAAGTAATCTTGCAAATTTTATCCATAAGCACATGTTAAATCTATTTATATCTACTTCCTGTCATTTAGGCGGGAAAATAGGGAGACTTAGTTGTTGACATTGAATATGGTTACTTATAGATCTATAGACCAAAGATAAATTTATAGATTTAGGAATTCTTTTTAAATGGTTCATGACAAATAAAGATTTAGATTTTAGGGCAGTATTAAGTCTGTATCTATGTTTGATTATCACCAAAGACAAGAAAGGTTAATATTAACATGAAATCTATGGCAAAATGTTCTAAAATTTATGAAAAATTTCTTTTTATTAAAATCTAAGATAGAAACTGGTTCAAATAATAAAACAATATTTGCAATTGTTCTTGTTAATTTTATATCTTCTTATGACAGGAATCCTTTCACATACAACAACTTTTTTTCTAGAAACTAGAAAGTTTTTTTAATTGAACATTTTTGTTCTCTTTTGAATGATATTTTATTTTTATTGATTTTGGATTTTATAAAAGATTTAATTACTTTAAATTCAGATGAATATTTTATTATGAATCATAATTTATTTATTTAAAAAAAATATTAAAGTATACAAACTTTTTTTTTTATTTACTTCTTTTTTACCAATAATTTTCTGAATCAATGTCTACATAACACAGTACCACAGTGTTAAAACATAACAAGAGACATAAAAAACTACAGTAACTAGAGCTAAGCGACGCGATGCGACACAACTGATTGCATGAAATATTTCACCAAGAAGTCCACACGCATTACCCTGGTGCTATCCAAAAATCCTGGGGAGAACACTGGCCTGAACAAATGGGGAGGTATTTTGACATTTTTATATATGTAACATTTTCAAAAAGAATTGAGATAATAAAATTGAATAAAAAAAAAATGCTGAGAAATATCAGAAATACATTATAAAATTAAAGAAAATTCAACATTTTTATAGTGTTATATATGTTTCATGAACACCTTATTGTTATCATCTCTGAATTCATTCCCAGATTGATTTGTAGAATCCAGAAAATTTATCGTGGATCTTGCAATATGATCTAGACACTTAATCTAGAGTGGACCGAATAGTACAAGCTTTGTCAATTATTAGAGCTCAAATCGTAAACTCTAGATGTTTATTTTTGAAACAAGATAGTGTTGTTGGATTATTTTCTCATTGATATTTTCTTTAAAATCTCTTTTTCATCTCATTTAATCAAATCAAAGATGTCTAATAAGGCCTTTCAAATCATAGGACATAAGCCAGAGTATTTCAAAGAGTAACAAATGAAGATAAGAACAAATAAAGTGCTGGTTTCCACTTTAAGGGGAGATAATTCTCTACATGTAAAAGGAAATGCATTCAATAGATTTCAATATAACCCATTTATTTTTTATTTTTCAAATTTTATTGAAAGGTGTTCATTTGTTGGTTGAACCATCAAGTACCAGTACCTTATCCCTGCTGTATTAGCATATGTAAACATATATATATACAGATGTATAACTTATAAATTCATCAAATGGTATTTTAAGTTTTGTTTTTTCTTTACTTGTAAATATATGATTATTTCTTAGTAATTGTTAATGCATATAAATCTTAATATATTGAAGGTCTATATTGACATTTCTTCATTGTCATTTTGAATTTCATCCTTAAAATTTTAAGTGCTTTGAAAGGAGAAAGTTCTACGAACAAGCTACTTTTTTGGTCCCTTAAAGTTCAAAAATATTATATAAAAGACATTACTTTGACAGATATCAGTTTACAGGTATATAGTTTTGTGTTATACCATACATATTAATCACAGCCTCAAACTTCTTGAACAGAATGATGAAAACAAAAATGTTCTTAGAATTTTAAGTCTAACAAATGCTGTGTACCTGTCATCTGGTCCTGAAGGTCTATTTCGATCATCTCTATATCTATCACCAGGTGGGCCTCTAGGTCTATCTCCCCTAGACCTATCCTCATCCCTATTCCTGGGTGGACCTCTCCTATCATCTCGTGGTTTCTCTGAATATCGAGGAGGTGGACCACGAGGATCATTTTTGTATCCCCGATTGTCATAACCATCGTTAAGAGGTCTCCCATATTTATCGTTTTTGGCAGTCTGAAAGCGAGTCGAAAACATTAGTATTAAATTCAAGTATAAATATAAATAAAATGCTTCGCTGGGGCGCAGCTTGATACGACCGCAGAGGTCGAACCCTGAACATTTGGGGCAAGTATGGACACAACATTCAAGCTTGATACAGCTCTGAATTTGGATTGTTATTAAATATTTGACACAGCATAGGTTTCTGACACAGAAAGAATGTGGTCTAAGAACTTGAATTTTTTTAATTTACCTATTATGGTCCAATGTCCAAAATCAAAATACATGGTTAGATTCAGCATATCAAAGAACCCCATATTTTCAATTTTTGTTGAAATCAAACAAAGTTTAATTTTGGACCCCAACTTGGACAAACTTGAAAACTGGGCCCATAATCAAAAATCTAAACACATGTTTAGATTCAGCATATCAAAGAACCCCAATAATTCAATTTTTGCTAAAATCAAACTAAGTTTAATTTTGGACCCTTTGGACCTTAATGTAGACCAATTTAAAAAACGGGACTTAAAATTAAAAATCTAAATACACGGTTAGATTTGGAATATCAAAGAACCCCAATAATTCAATTTTTGATGAAATCAAACAAAGTTTAATTTTGGACCCTTTTGACCTCAATATGAACCAATTTGATAGCGGGGCCCACAAATAAAAAATCTAAATTCATGGTTAGATTCAGCATATCAAATAACCCCATATATTCAATTTTTGTTGAAATCAAAAAAAGTTTAATTTTGGACCCCAACTTGGACCAACTTGAAAACTGGGCCCATAATCAAAAATCTAAACACATGTTTACATTTAGCATATCAAAGAATCCTAAGAATTCAATTTTTGTTAAAATCAAACTAAGTTTAATTTTGGACCCTTTGGACCTCAATGAAGACCAATTTTAAAAAATGGGACCCAAATTAAAAATCTAAAAACACGGTTAGATTTGGCATATCAAAGAACCCCAATAATTCAATTTTTGATGAAATCAAACAAAGTTTAATTTTAGACCCTTTTGACCTCAATATGAACCAATTTGATAGCAGGGCCCACAAATAAAAAATCTAAATACATGGTTAGATTCAGCATATCAAAGAACCTCATATATTCAATTTTTGTTGAAATCAAACAAAGTTTAATTTTGGACCCCAATTTGGACCAACTTGAAAACTGGGCCCATAATCAAAAATCTAAATACATGTTTAGATTCAGCATATCAAAGAACCCCATATATTCAATTTTTGTTGAAATCAAACAAAGTTTAAATACTGGAGCCTATCTTGGACAAACTTGAAAACTGGGCCCATAATCAAAAATCTAAACACATGTTTAGATTTAGCATATCAAAGAACCCCAAGAATTCAATTTTTGTTAAAATCAAACTAAGTTTAATTTTGGACCCTTTGGACCTCAATGAAGACCAATTTTAAAAAATGGGACCCAAATTAAAAATCTAAAAACACGGTTAGATTATGCATATCAAAGAACCCCAATAATTCAATTTTTGATGAAATCAAACAAAGTTTAATTTTAGACCCTTTTGACCTCAATATGAACCAATTTGATAGCGGGGCCCACAAATAAAAAATCTAAATACATGGTTAGATTCAGCATATCAAAGAACCTCATATATTCAATTTTTGTTGAAATCAAACAAAGTTTAAATACTGGACCCTATCTTGGACCAACTTGAAAACTGGGCCCATAATCAAAAATCTAAACACATGTTTAGATTCAGCATATCAAAGAACCCCAAGAATTCAATTTTTGTTAAAATCAAACTAATTTTAATTTTGGACCCTTTGGACCTTAATGTAGACCAATTTAAAAAACAGGACCCAAAATTAAAAATCTAAATACACGGTTAGATTTGGAATATCAAAGAACCCCAATAATTCAATTTTAGATGAAATCAAACAAAGTTTAATTTTGGACCCTTTTGACCTCAATATGAACCAATTTGATAACGGGGTCCACAAATAAAAAATCTAAATACATGGTTAGATTCAGCATATCAAAGAACCCCATATGTTCAATTTTTGTTGAAATCAAACAAAGTTTAATTTTGGACCCCAATTTGGACCAACTTGAAAACTGGGCCAAAAATCAAAAATCTAAATACATGTTTAGATTCAGCATATCAAAGAACCTCAGATATTCAATTTTTGCTAAAATCAAACAAAGTTTAATTTTGGACCCTTTGGACCTTAATGTAGACCAATTTGAAAACTGGACCCAAAATTAAAAATCTAAATACACTGTTAGATTCGGCATAACAAATAAATAAATGTGATCAAAGATTTTACAAATCTAATGCGCCATACTGTGCAATTAAAGATAACTTCTTGAAATTTTTCAATATTTGAAATTTGAAAAAAAAATAATATTTGAAGAATATTTCTTTTTGATTTCTGAAATCTGAAATGAGAAAAAATTGACCCCCCACAATTTCTTTTTATCCCCCCCCCCCTTTTTTCCCCCAAAAAATTCTTTCCCTCAAGATATGGTCATAATCTCAATTCAAATTTCCAATGGAGTTGGCAACCATAATTACCCATTTAAATTTACCATAGTGCTAACTTAATCTATTTTATAATAGAATTAAAAATATAGTGTCAAATCTTTCATATGGATTTTTTTGTAAAAAAAAAAGATGCAACATTTGCAGATATTTTTACTGGTCTTCCTTTATAAATATGTATTTCTTTAAACATAATTTAAAAGCAGTGTAAGGGAAGTAACCAAAACGTTGTATTTGGATTACCTCCCTTACACTGTTTTAAATTATCTTTATTGTTCATTAACCATTACTTTATACATAATTTAAAAGCAGTGTAAGGGAGATAATTTCAATGATGTATTTGATTTATCTCCCTTACACTGCTTTAAATTATGTTTTGTACTAAAGTATTTGTCCATTAACCTAGACAACCTTGTTTTTCCCCCTTTTTTGCCCCTAATTCCTAAACGGTTTGAGCCATAACCCCTCAAAGCAAATCCTAACCATCCCTTTGTGGTATGGAAACTTGTAGTATAATTTCAGAGAGATCCATACACCGTTCCACAGTTATTGTCTGGAAACTAGAAAATGCTTATTTTTGGCCCCTAATTCCTTAACTGTTGGTACCATAACCCCCAAAATCAATCCCAACCTTCCTTTTGTGGTATTTAACCTTATGGTCAAATTTCAAAAAGATCCATTCACTAAAACTAAAGTTAGAGTGCGAAAACCAATGTGTCTTCGGACGACGACGACAACGTCATACCAATATACGACCACAAAATTTTTTTGCGGTCGTATAAAAATAGTATCTTGTAAGTAGAAGTATTTTCAACATTCATGCAAGAAGTCATGTTTTATGCTTTTACTTATGTTATCACAATAATTTCAAATCATAGAAAAGCTAAAAACAGGATGTTTAATTGTGAAAACAACATTATTTGTGTTATTTTGACATATTGCTACTTATAGAAAATTAAAACAAATGTATGGTCAGAACATATGTTTTCATACGTCATATGAATTCATACTATGCATGCTTTTTCAATGGAAATTGTGACGTCACGATGCATTAATAATAGCACAAAAACCCATGAGAGAATATATTTGGGTTTTTTATTTACAGAAGTAAACCAAATACATTTCTGAGGAGTTGCATGTGCAACCAAGTATACTTTTCATGTTGATACTTAGGAAATTTAGTAAATATGAAAACAGTTTTCTCCCAAGCTGTTGACTCATTTAATGTAAAAATTGATTCCCACATTATATCAGCAAAAAATCAGTGCCGATCAATTTTTTTTATAAGAGTTACGCCCCTTGGAAACATTAATTATATGGAAAATTGCATGTTAGCGCTCTCATGTGTACAATTCTTCCCAGAATTTTATGAAACTTATATCATAAGTGATGGAAATTTATACTTCTGATGATCTTTTCAGAAAAAAAAAAACCAAAATGCAACTTACTTATGAAGTAAAAACAGTAAATAAACTGTTAACACAGAGATATGTCTCGCCTATATGTTATTTTGATAATGCAAATGTTGAAATTAAAATAGCAATACTTTAACATGTAAGTTATGCAAATATTCAAAGTCAATGAACCATGACTGAAGGTACAGGGCTAAACAATCTCCATGGAAATGAGATGTGCCAATGCTAATACAACTGCAAACCAAATACCATTGACTTTTCATAAGTCGTTCCCTTTAAACAAACCTAAACACAAACATTAACTTGTAAACTCTGTAAAAGTTTCAAAGTCAATGAACCATAATTAGGGGGTGGGGTTATATAATCTCCATGGAAATGAAACTTGCAAATGCCAATACATTTGTATACCGAATAGCATTGACTTAACATCAGTGGTTCATCTTAAACTAAACTAATCACAAACTAATGCATGAAAACTAAGCAAAAGTTTCAAAGTCAATAGACCATGAATGAGGGGGCAGGGCCAAAAAATCTCCATGGAAATGAGATATGCCAATGCTTATACAACTGCATACCAAATATTATTGACCTACCACTAGTGGTTCCCCATAAACAGACCTAATCACAAACTAATACATGTAAACTAAGCAAAGTTTCAAAGTCAATAGACCTTGACTGAGGGGGTGGAGCCAAATAATCTCCATGGTAATGAGATGTGCCAACGCTAATACAACTGCATACCAAATACCATTGACCTACCATTAGTGGTAACTGGTTCACCATGAACTAGACCTAATCACAAACTAATACATTGTTGACGCTGCCGCCTTCATCGCGGACGCCGGAAACAGCATACCTATGTCTCACTTTTTGACTCTGTCAAGGCAAGACAAAAATTGTGTTTTTTTAAATTAAATGTAGTGCACCATTAATTCATTCCTTATTTGAATTATTATTACTTTACAATGGTAACATTTATCGTCATATTATTTCACCCTTCACAAATTCATGCTTCTGATGTTATCTGATTTGATTGAAATATGTTGTCTCTTATTTTCTGTGAACATTTGTTTAGAACTGTACTTACATAAGTAGCTAATGGTTTAAAACTGTCATGTGGTGTAGTACCAGACTTCAATTGCTCTCTGAAGAAGAAGAAAAAAAAAAATCAAAAATGAAGTATAAATTATAACATGAACTCTCACAGCATTATCCATACATTTTCTGCATTTATGATGTCCGTTAAAGCTTTACATTTACACATGTATCAAAATTTTTCTTTGTTTAATGGGTATGTTACTTCCTTTTGTAAAAGTTCACAGATTGCTTAGTCGGTTTATTATGAGGGTCTGGATGGGGTTTACAGAATAGAGAATAATGGACAAAACGTGCAGAATAAAGGACAAAAAATATAAAGAATAGAGAAAAATAGGCCAAAAAAATAAATAGAAAATAATTGGGTGCTAAAATATGAAGAATAGAGAATAACAGGCAAAATTTATAAAGAATAGAGAAAAATGGCTTAAAAAAATAGAGACTATGCAATTGAAGGACCCGTCATCCAGACCCTCAATAATTAGTTAGTCCTATAGCATACGCCTTCATAGGTTCATATTGTTTGCTTTCGACGTTTTTTATTGGATATTTTTTTTTACTATCAATGCTGGGTTTACATGGTTAAGGCTTATGTTATAGGACTAAATTATTAGTATATACATTTTTGTACATGAATTTAATCCACATATTAAGACATTGTAAATTCACCCTGTTAAAGGTAGGGTTTGTGTCGCTCAGTCTTTAGTTTATTGTTTAGTGACTCACTGTGTTTTTTAGAGTTTTGATTTGTCCTTTTTTGTTTCTGTCCTTCTTCGACTTATGCTTTTGATTGCTCTGTATTATCTTACTTTGTTTTGATGTTTTTTTTTTATCGATTTCCATCAAAGAAATGTGTGGTCACATCCAAAATGAGTATCAAGTTCTCTAAGATGCCACAGAAATAGCATCTACATGTATTGCAGCATGCTAATATAATAGTTTATGTGCTTGAGGGAATTCATCAGGTGAATAATGAATGGTGGTTTCTAGATGTTTTGGTTAACTTGTGCAGATGGGTTGTAACAGACAACATATCCCTTTTAATTCATACTTGCATATATAAAAAATCTTACTTTGTTTCATGCTCATAATTAAGTCTGCTTTTATGTGTAACAGCAACTCCATAGTCTCCAATAGGTCGAAACTGAAAAAAACTATGATTAATTTATCTTTGTCACAGCATTTCCAGACTCAAATAATAAAACAGTCAAATTTGAAAAAAAATGTTTGAACAAACCCCACAAACCCCAACCCCACCCCATTTAGTTTGTTACAGCTGTTCCATGCTAAAAAAAAATATAATCTGACCTTACAAGTCATGATCAGTGCCTAAACAGCAAAATCCTTAATTGTGAGGTTGATATAAATCAAAAATTCATAATCAGTAATGAAATCTCCATGGAAATGAGATGTTATAATGGAAATAAAACTGCATGGTGAATACCAAATACAAATGCATCATTGACTTATCATAAGTGGTAACCCTTTAGCTGACCTATCACAGTCTTTTATTTGTATTTACGTTGCAAAAGTTTCAGTCAATGTTCCATGACTGAGGAGGTAGGGCCAGATAATTTCCATGGAAATGAGATGTGATAACAGTACAACAACATACATGTATGTAGCATACCAAATATCACTGACTTACAATTATGCTGACCTACATTGTAATCACAAACTTATCAAATTGTTGAAACTGCCACTTATAGACTAGCTACCTCCGCAACTGTATGGGCGATACAAAGCTCACCTTATAATGGAGGATGGCGCTCCTTAGTCGGTAGATTTTATATTGTATTTGTTACCCTGTTTCTGATACTCTCCCTTCAGATCTAATTTACTTCTAGCAAATCATTTAATTGCAATGGAGCGAACAAAGTGAATTCTTTATTTACCAGTATATTGAATACTGTTGTATTTTTTAACACAAAACTAATTTAAGAGATAATAAAAAAGGTGTGTTCCTATGCACACATTGAATATGCACAAGGGCAATAACTCCCAATATATTTCGTTTTGTTTTTTCGAACTTATTATAAATACCCTTAGTTCCTACAAGATATGTACATGTAGGTGCGATGCAGCTAACAATGCAATTTTAAAAATATTTTCTATTTCCAAGCAAGGACCTACAGTACACACAGAGAGTATGTAATCTCATACTCCCCACACTGTGTAAAAACTTGGTGTCACACCAAGAAACTCCAGCAACTCTCTCCAAATCTTGGGAGGAAATTGGGAGAAATTTGGAGTAATTCCTCCCTAAAACTCCTTAATTGTTTATTACCTTGGTGTGGTTTCTCCCAACAACATGATTTTTATTGCTATGATTACCTTTGAAGTGTGCCAGTAGTTGATGACTACAATAAACATTTCTTGTGTTTCCTGTCATTAAATGACAGTCACAAAAATGATGAAAAGTGTGAGATTTGTTAAATTTAATCAGAGACATATTATAATCTGATTTTATTAAAGAATCCTGTACAACTTTATTTATTAAAATTATATTCAGCATTTGTTCTGACAGTGTTGGTTTTTCATACCTAAGAAACATACAAAAACAAACAAAACATCACCTGTAAGTGGAGTATTATTAATAGAAAATAAAGACATATATTTTAATTGAATTTATTCAATCGTTTTTTCTAAATTTAAATGATAAGAAATAAAGGAAGATTATATAAATATAATATATATATGTAATTTATCTACATTATTTTATTTTATTCATTATTTTTTTTGTATCATTACTATTATTTTTTAAACCATGTATATACTAATATCTATATGTTTTAAAAACTGACTATACATACAACTTATTGTAAATATCAAGTTGCCATTCTTGATTATGAGATTATGAAAGAATGTAAATAATTTTCCAATCTAAAAATACATATTTGTATAAAAATTTTAAAAATCATTTCGTTAACCTTTTTTTAGTGCTTTCAGAAATAAAACTAAATAGGAAATGATTGAAATAGGAAGAAGTGAGTGAATAGTTGACCGGAAATTATGTCACTGTCAGACCATGCAGTCGTGCTTTGTTGATTTTTATTACTCTTACCTGCAATCAACAGGTCATAAAACCCTCCCAGATGGGAGTAATTACTTGGTGTTTTTTGGGAGAGAAATCTGTGTTTCACAGTATGACACTGTGTTACACCAGAATCAGTGTTGGGAGTATGAGATTACATCCTCTCTGTGTGTACTGTATAACTAACATATGTCATGTATGTCCTTGTTCCAAGGGACTTTTAAAACTTTTTAAAAAAAGTTGATCAGCACTAATTGAAACTTGTCCAAGACCATGCTGATATAAACCTTTGATATAAATTCCATTTAAACACATGAATAAATGTAGGGTTGAAAGTGCTTACAATGCAATTTTTCATAGAATTTATATTTGAAGGGGACATAACTCCTGAAAATTAATTGATCAGTGATGATTTTCACTCAAACGAGACATATTAAACTGGTTTAAATCTTGCTATAACTTTTATACAAATCCTACAAGAAATGTTCACTTAAAAGACTGATAGATCTTTAAATGCAACTTTCCATATAATTTATTTTCTAAGGGGCATAATTCCTTTAAAATCAAGAATTGTATGTGTGAGACGGCTTACAAAATGTACAAGACCTGAGGGTCACAAATGGAGAAACAGGATGGACTCGTAATACTGATGGGAAGAAAACAGTTTACAGAGGATTGTATCTAGTAAGCTGGTGCTAAAGATTGAGGATTATATTGTTTAGAAGTAAATTAACATTATATATATGTGTGCAATGTATTTAAGATTTGAAAGGCTTTTTTGTATGTGAACTTACAACAAGTCCTCTTCTGTATTGATTGGTTCTCCTAAGTGCTAAGAGAACCAAGTAGGTTCCCATTCCAACACACAAAATAAAAAGGACTATAAATGCTGGACCTAAGAACTGGTCATTCCAGCTAATGAGATAAACGTGTCTATGTCGCAAAGTTATCACTAAAACACCAATTACTCCCAATGCTAAACCACCTAAAAAAAATATTGCGGCCAGTAGCATTGGAAAGCGACCTGGGCCCAAGTTAAGACCATTCAGCTCATCTTTGATTTGGTTTTGGACTCTTGCGTGGTAGGCCACCACAGTGTCCTTGTCTATTTCACGTTCTTTCCTTATCATTTTGCTTTTTGTTAGTCTTTTCTGGTTCTACATAGTTCAAAACAACTTTCGAAAACACTTCCGCTATTTGTCATAGCCCACAATGCTAAATTTACCTGTCTCACCTGTAGGCATGCGCATCCATGTTTTACCTTTCCTACTTTACAGGTATGGAAGGAGTAAAGAATAAGATAACGAGACAACTATCTGAAACCAGTAGAGTAGTGCATGGCGCGTGTATATTTAAATATCATTTTTAAAATAATGTACTTGGGACAGGACAATAATATATTATGACGGTATCAGCACTGATAAATATACCAGGAATAACAGGTATTTGCTCAGTAAACTAAATTTCACAAAAACCTCGGTAAAATATCGTATCATCTCGGCACCTGGTAAGCGTTCTTAACGTAATGTTTCCTTGCTTTTAAAGGGAAATCACACTATTGTTTATACGCATCGCTCTCGGCGCCGCTATAGTGTCGTGACCGTATTATGACGTCGCCGTTTCGAGTCCGTCGTAAAGGTTGCTAATTTCTAAAATGGCGGCCCGCTCAAAGGGACGTGCACTATTAAAGCAAGAGAAAGCAAATGACGTTTTGATTTAAGTGCAAAAAATGAAAATGCTACTCGAAACGGACAAAATGTATGGCAAAAAAAAAAGCCGAAAGTGGTCTTGATATGGTCTTGAATTACCTTACGATTGGGTTTAATTCAAATGAGTTACTCTCTTTAAATAAAGATATTATTATCATTATTATTATTATTGACTTAGTATTTACATACAATACCATTTATACAATTATTTTTCTTAAAGGTTTATTAATTTCACCGAAAAATATTGTTAGATATGAGAAATATCAACATTTTTTGTTGATCTGGTCTTTATTATTTGTAGCGAAATCCGTCAGCTCAACTTTTTTTTGTAGAAAACCTTTTTTATTTACTGTAGTTTATATTTTCATATATTAACAATTTTTTTTATCTCGCAGATTTCTTAGTTTCACGAAGAAAAAAAATATTTAAAAACAAAAGAGATATTTATAACACTTTTTGTCGATCATTTCAGTATAATCAAAGCGTACATCGGCGAATGTGAAATCCGTCCGGTCAACTTTTTTTTTTAGAAAAACATTTTGTTTTACTATGAAGTTTAAATTTTCATATAAGATAACTATTAATCTCGCAGATTTCTTAGTTGTATGAAAAAATATTGTAAAACAAAAGAGATATTACCAGTAACACTTTTTGTCGATCAGTTCAATATTGTAAAGCGTACATCAGTGAGTGTGAAATCCGTCCGGTCAACTTTTTTTTGTTAGATTTTCATAAAATATAGTCTAATATTTCTAAGGTCTTCAAATATTAAAATAATCTATCAAATAACAAAAAAGTTCTGACTATTTATATCTCATCCGGTCAATACGGGCAATTGTCCTGTCATTAGTGTAACCCAACTGTTGGCAGCGTATTGTCGCGATGCGGTATGTGGGAATATACTGGAAAAAATAACAATATACCAAGAGTAACAGCATGTAAGCGTACAGCTTCCGGAATTTGTAGTTTTCTGTCCAACAGAGGGATGTAAATAAGAACAATGAGTTTCGATGTTCCTTTGGTATCAAACGCCTCTCTCTCTCTCTCTCTCTCTCTCTCTCTCTGTTTCTTTTTTTTTTGGGAAGTGGGGTATGGGGGGAACAAACACATGAACACAAGTGATTCGTAGAGTAATCATATTTGTTGAAATATCAAACGTTATTTAAGAATAACGCCAGTTAAACATCACTGTAAAAGAAGCATACAAAATTTTACATCGGTTGCTGGCTGTCGAAATCAAAGAAAATTTAGCACCGTATTATATAGTACATTATACGCAATCTTCCTTTAATGCTTTGTACAGGCTTTCATAATTTGGGCACAAAAAAAAAATCATATTTTGTATTATTTCTTCAAACTGTCAATTATAGCGAACTGTACGACCAGCAAGTTAAAAAATAAGGCCGCTAGACGTCAGAGCAATCTGGGAATATCAAACACTATGCCTAGTTATTTTTGTACTATTGATGACCGTACTACCTACAACAACAACAAAAAATCCACACTGTATATTTGGCTTTACAAGACTCCAACAAGAGAAATATTTAACACACACACATGTATTTATGTAGAGTAACATGTCTTTCAAAGTGCTAATCTGTAACCATCACATTAAGGTCCGTCTTGTGAAAGAGTATTCATCTCATATAGAAAAAAATTTTGTGCTGATATTCATGGAATATTTGCCACTGAAAGTTTTGCAAAAATCAAGAAAAAAACGAAAACAAAACAAAGACTAGTAATTAAGATGTAGGTTCGTGTTCAGATCACTCAATGTGATCACTTGCCTGTCAACAAACAGTGATATAGGGAGATTGTCAGATTCCGATCATGACTGTAAAGGACAACCATTTGTTTAATACAAAGGTAGCTGATTTACTCTTGATACCTTGGTTCTTTAGAAAAAAAACGGCCAACATGATATAGCAGAGTGCTGAAAGTGGCACACACAATCAATCAGTTATTTTCAAATTACCTATCATTAATCAGTTTTGGCAAAAAAAGTATAAAGGCTATATCATACTGAAACATAAATGTGATAAAAGAATATACAATTCAAGAAAGAGAGGTGCACCAACAGAAAATAGAAACTGCAATCTTTCTTTTAATTTCATCCGATCTCAGATCTCAAAATTTTAACTCTTACCAGAATTTATTCTATCTTACAGTTACTGTATAACTCTGAAGTTTCTAAGTGGAACTCGAGCTTTAACTAGAACTCTTACTCGAATAAACATTCGAACTAAAAATAAAACTGGAACTTTAACTCTAAATTTAGCTGGAACTCGAATTCTTATTCTACATCAAAGGTTATCTACACTCTCATTTGTCATCTGATAACAAAATTCGTAAGGGTTCCACGGAACCCAGTGTCTCGCCTACTTTTGCTGTTAATCGCAGGCTCAACAAAAATGAGGAAAAAAAATCAATAAAAATATTCCTCTCGATACTATCTTTTGATTATAAGAAGCTTCTGTCCAAGTTTGGTTTAAATCTAGGATAGTTTATGGATCTAATAAATGTTTTAAAAACTTTAACTGCATACTGTATGTAATGTTAACTGGAAGAAAAACTAAGTCCATTTATAAGTAAAATACGGATAAACAGGTACAAAATTTTGACAAAATTTCCTTCGAGATACAAGCTTTTGATCATAAACAAGCTTCTGTCCAAGTTTGGTACATATCCAGGATAGTTTAAGAAAGTTATTGAAATCTTAAAAACTTTAACCACAGAGTGAATGTATTGTTTCCTGGCAGAAAAACTAAGTCAATTTATAAGTAAAATACGGAAAAAAAAGATTTTTTTTTTACAAAATTTACTTCTGGATACTATCTTATGATCATAAACAAGCTTCTGACAAAGTTTGGTAAAAATCCAGGATAGTTTAAGAAAGTTATTAAAAATTTAAAAACTCTAACCACAGAGTAAATGTATTGTTTCCTGGCAGAAAAACTAAGTCCATTTATAAGTCAAATATGGAAAAACAGGAATTTTAATTTTACAAAATTTACTTCTGGATACTATCTTATGATCATAAACAAGCTTCTGTTCAAGTTTGGTAGAAATCCAGGATAGTTTAAGAAAGTTATTAAAACTTCAAAAACTTTAACCACATAGTGAATATTTGTGGACGCCGCCGCCGCTGCCTCCGCCGCCGACGACGACGACGCCGACGACGGAATGTAGGATCGCTATGTCTCGCTTTTTCGACTAAAGTCGAAGGCTCGACAAAAAACTAGAGTTAGATAAAATATATCGATATTTCCACAGAAACACGGATAGATGTAGCAGAACAAGAAAAAAAACTAGATCCGTTTATGACAAATTAAAAGATTTTTTTAAATACATCAACTTGGAACATTATATGTTCCTGATATCAATATGGCGATGTGTATTTCATTGTCAATTAACTCTAAATTATCAGATGCATTGTATTTCTCATAACATACCAACGTTGAGCGATTAATCGAACGGTAATAAAATATACGTAATACATAAAGTTTTAATACACAGGCGATGAACATTGAACATATTATGTACAATGAACATGCAACGATGTATGAAAAATGGATGCGGGATGATAGAACTCAGAAAAATATTTGGTTTCCACAGTTCGAATAAATTATGAAGCGTTGTGTAACTACGGAACCAATTTTAAATTCCTACCGAAAATAGGTTTCTTTTAATGTGCTGAGTTAGTGGCATTTTCAATACGGCATTTCAGGTTTTATCTTCCCGGTGCGAATGGACAAGCTAGTGAAATTATGGTAACGAAATTTTTCTGCCTGCAGTCTAAAAGGAACGTGTTACTTTTCAGCCCTTCAGTCTTCCGAGGTAGAAGATTCTTTTTCTGGAAGCCGAAAATTAATTCTATAATACGGTATGAGGCAAACATTCGTTTTCCACATACAACAAATGCAATTTAAAAAATGAGATGACTTCAACTTTGACAATTACTTTATAATAAACTGTTCAGTATTGTATCTATGTTTAACGATTTGATAGATTGATAAAGATATCAATGAATAATCAAAATACCTTAAAAAATGTTCAAAAATGATATTACATTTTGTAGTGAAAAGGTTTAATTCAACCTAAGCGTTGCAAGAAATGCTGTTATGCCAGCAACGTCGTTCTATAACGTTAAAAGGTTATAGTTCCCGCCAAAATTCAATAATAAAGATTATTTCCGTTTTAGCGGATTTAAAACATCGGTGACCCCCCTTTTTTATTTATGCTTTTAAAATCTTCCCTGAAGCTGCAACTTATGCAGAAGTTTGAAGGGAAAAACATTAGTAGATTTTTTTTATTTCAAGAAAAATCTATTATAAATAGCAATTAAAAATGGCGGGAAATGTTCAAATGCCTTCAAAAATAAGGAAACCGAGACAAATAAATGTTCATAAGGTATAAGTTACATTTGACTGTTTTTGTTATTCCAGTTAAACATGGTTTTTCAATAAGTTTGTCTTTTTCTAACAATTTAGAGCGGTATTTCTATATTTCGTTATAACGCTATTCT